ATTGTAAAGTGGAATCAATATAATAGGTTTAGCATTTTCTTTAAGCAATAAACAGTGCTAGGTTCTGGGGTTTTACAAAGCTGACCAAGCATAGTCCCTTTTTTCAAGTTTATCTTCCACCTGCAGGAGATAATAAAATGACACAGATGTTTACTAGAAGAGACACCTTTCAGAGTTTACCCTGCTCCTATGTGGAGAACTAGTCCCCCTTCCCTACCCTCAGGGTGAATCTTGCAGCCTACAGTGACAGTCCCTCCCTTCTGGCCAGATATAATTGGATTAAAGGTCTGGGGACATGTGACCAAGGCTGCACCAATTAGATTTCTCCTACCAGTGATTTAAAATTAGAATTCAGGGGCAACTGGGTGGCTCAGTCAGTTAAGCACCTGACTTCCGCTCAGGTCATGATCTCACTGTTTGCGAATTTGAGCCTTGAGTTCAAGCCACACGTCAGGCTCTGTGCTGACAGCTCAGAGCCTCGAACCTGCTTCAGATTCTGTGTCTTCCTCTCTCTCTGCCTCTCCCTCAGTTGTGCTCTATCTCTCTCTCTTAAAAATAAATAAATACTAAAAAATATTAACAAAAATAAAATTAGAATTCAAAGCTGCTAGTGGGTCTCTGCTATCCACTGAATTTAGGGCAGAAAAGCACTGGCTTGAACATTCTTGACCACATACCTGTGGCAATGCAGAGAAGGCGTCTGGAGAAAGAGAGGAAAAACTGACACAGGCATGTAGATGGCTTTCTAGTTCCTGCTTTTGAGTTCATGGACTCCATAAGATACTCCTGCATTAAGAGCTTCGATCAAAACAACTGCAATACTGTACCACCATGAAGGCCAATAAATGAATATAAACATGCTAAGAGAGCTGAAGAAGGAAAGAGAGCCTGTTGTGAAACAGGTAGGATTAGGAGTAGTAAAATCTTTCATGAAAAACTGACAATTTGAGTCCACCTTAAATTATGAGTATGATTCTAATATGAAGAAATGGGATAAGATCATTTACAAGTGAAAGGAATCATATAGGAGAGAGAAAAATTGGGGGCTATGTTACAAAATGAACAGGGATGGTTATGTCCTCTTATGAAAATTCAGGAACTCTTTGACCAGCTTCTATCCTCACATGAGCTATAGCAAATCGTGCATTCAGGGTCCTTTTTCCACTTGAAAATAATTCATGTATCATTCCATTCTTATTGACTCCCCTCTAGATATTTTGTTTTAAAAAGAATTACAGAGGCCATTCAGAAAAATTCCTATATTCTATAAAGAAAAGTTACTGCAAAGAGTGGTAAAGTAACTAATCATGTGCTGCTATAATTTTCTTGTTTCCTTATCTTAGGATAGGTGGCAAATACACATTTCCTAGTAGCATCAGCTATGCCATATACAATTCAGTCCTGGGGTGCCTGGGTGGCTCAGTTGGGTAAGCATCCACTCTTGATTTCAGCTCAGGTCACGATCTCATGTTTGACCCCCTCATTGGGCTCTGTGCTAACAATGCAGAGCCTGCCTGGGATTCTCTCTCTCCTCCTCTCTCTCTGCTCTTCCTGTGCACTCTGTCTGTCTGTCTGTCTCTCTCTCTCTCAAAATAAATAAATAAACTTAAAAAAAAAAAAATTCAACCCTAACTTCACTCTGGGGAAGCCTGTTCGGCTCTGTTGGCTCACTTCTCAATATGTATGTCTATGGGCTTCAGATGTAGCATGCCACTGATTTTGAGGGCCACGAATTGATTTTCTTGGAGAAAAGATATTTTGATAAATTTAAAAACACTAAAAAGGGGATTGGGGGAAAAGTGTATATGTACCTATTGTGGTTTAAACTACCATTTTCCACAAAATATTAAATGTGAATATACTTTTAAAACTCGAATGAACTGTGCAGTTACAAGGTATTAGATAAGTAGGCATATTATATACTTTTATGTGTTTATAAGTACAGGTAACTCTTGAACACACAGTCTTGAACTTTGTGGGTCCATGTATATGTGGATTTTTTTTTCCAATAAATACAATACAGTACTATAAATGTATTTTCTTTTCCTAATGATTTTCTAAATAACGTTTTCCTTTTCCTAGCTTACTTTAGTGTAAGAATGTGGTATATAATACATACAACATCCAAAATATGTGTTGATAAACTTTATGTTATCTGTTAAGGCTTCTGCTCAATAGTAGCCTATTAGTAGATAAGTTTGGTGGGAGTCAAAAGTTATACATGGATTTTTGACTATGTAAGGGGGTCTGCACCATAACCTCCTCCAAATATCTTTGAAAACACAGAAAAGATGAAATTTGAAACATTAAAAATAGGACTGAGTCCGGGGTGCCTGGATGGTTCAGTTGGTTAAGCGTCCGACTGCAGCTCAGGTCATGATCCCATGGTTCGTGGGTTCGAGCCCCGCATTGGGTTCTGTGCTGACAGCTTAGGCCCTGGAGCCTGCTTCAAATTCTGTGTCTCCCTCTCTCTCTACTCCTCCCTTGCTCATGTGCTTAAAGCATGCTCATGCTTTAAATTTAAAAAAGAATTTTAAAAAAATAGGACAGAATCAATATACTTGAGAGGATTTTCCAATAATTATTTCCTTCATCTATTCATATATTCAACAGTTTTTTAAATGACTATTATGTACCAGATGGTTCTAGACCTAGCAAGTATAGTGGTGAACAAAACTCCCTGCCTTCATGGAGCTTCTATTCCAGTGCAAGAAGACAAAATAAAGAACAATTTCAGAGTGCATTAAGTATTTGGAAAATAACTAAGCAAGGTAAGGGAGCAGAAAGTGATAGATATATATTCCAGATGGAGTGGTCAGGGAAGGCTTCTTAGAGGTGGTGACATTTGAGCAGATACCTGAATGAAGTGAGGGTGGGAGTCATGGTAATATCTGAAGGAAGAGCATTCAAGGCAGAAGATGAAACACATGCAAAGGTCCTGAGATAGAAACAGGCTTGTCATGTTCTAGAAACAGTGAGAAGATGGCATGGCTGGAGTAGACTAAGTAGGGGAAAGAAAAATGATAAGAAAGAAAAATGATAGCTAGTCAAGGACTAGATAGTGTAGGATGAGTTGTGAGGAGGTCACATTTAACTGGACTAAAAACAAACTTTGTGATCCACTTGAGAAGGAAATGCCTAAAAGTAGATGGGAAGACTTCTTGTCTCTCTACTATTACCAGAATGCCTCTTTATATAAGCAGAGGCTGTTACCTCCAAGAACCTGTCATCTCAGTCCTCTGGCAGGACACTAACTGGGGTGGGGTATACTGGTGATGCACAGTGAATCTTGGTAGGAGTTATCCTTACACGTAAAGTACCACAATTCTGGGTGGAGATGAAAGAGCCCTAGGTAAAGTGGATGCTCTAACTTAAAGCTTTTAAGGTGCTGTTTCATAGTGAGTTTGAGTGCCAGGCAGTGAGAACAGGAGAAAATGCTGTCTCTGTCCAAGAAAGTCATAATAGATGCAAAGATAGTAAATTTCACACAGTTGGGACATAATTCCAAGCCACATATTTGTGTAAGTGATTGAAATACTTGGATTTAGCTTCTATTTCCTTCTTTATTTCCCTTTTAAAATGTTATACAAACAATGCCAGTTCACAGCAAAATAAAATCTGGTATAGTTTTATTTACATTCTGGGCTGGGCTAAATATTTGCATTCTGTGGCTTGCCTACCAAGGATCACCTGGTAAATTATAAAGATGTATGACCATGAACAAGGATGGCCTGAAATAGACCTATGCCAGGGCCCACTTGGCTGGAGGGTCTATTTCAGAGGAAAAACCTGGGAGTCACACTGCTTTACAAGCATGACTCATGTATTGTTAGTACTATTTCATGGCAAGCCACTTAAAATATGTCCTGAGTACTGATACTGGAAATGACCTTGTTTTCCATATGCTTTCAAGTGTCTTCATTTAAGTGTGCATATTTATGCCTACATTTAACATCTATCTACATTTGGGCTTTACAATGGATAGCACTGTGATTAAAAGAAAGAATTCTGATATGGGACCTTGAATAAAATGTCAATTACGATCAGTTCCTGGCAAGTGTTTTAATCTTCCTAAGCCAGTTCCCTCCTTTGAAAAATGGAAATGATTCCTACCTTAAGAGTAATTGTAAGAATTACATTAATGTATAAGGTACCAAGCACGTTATATGTCACATGGTAAGTCCCCTTAAACAGTAGGTACTATTAATACAATAGAAACTCATTATTAGGAGAGACTGTAGGGATCAGAAATGTTTATTGAATGAAAAGGCACCAGAAACCAATAATATTGCACTGTTATGTTAACTAAAATTTAAATATTTTTTTAAAAGGAAGAAAAAAAAAAAGAAAATGCAGGTACCAATAGCACAGATTTCTTCTTCTCCTTTGTAATTGCTTACCTGCCTGAGGACTGAACCTCAGCTCACTGCACACTGTCACCTGAATCACCCATTAAGTTATCAAGGAAGGCAATGTAAAAACCCCAGGTGTATCTTCTGGTAAGGACTCGGACTGTTGAACCGGAAAGCTAAAAGTGCAAGCGTTACAACTGCCCTTCGATCCACACTCCCACATGGGTCGCCCGCTTATTTAAATGGTTCGTCCCTTCAGGTGCCACTTGGTAACATTTAGGCCGAGCGCCCTCCGCGGGTTCGCGGGTCGCGGCTGGAGGCAATAGTTCTCCCAGGTGTCCGCGGGGCTCGGCGACCCGGCCACCCCGAGCCTGGCACCAGGTGAGGGTTTAGCGTGGCTGCAGGAGCTCGGCCGGCTGCCGTGGGTGCAGAGGCCTCCGCGTCTGGCCGCGTCCCACCTTCGCGGGGCGCTGGGAGCCGGCGGGGACCGATACCTGGGGGACGCCCCAATCCCCGCGGGCGCCACGCCCGCCGCGCCCGCGGCGCGGGGAATAAGAAGTGAGCGCCCGGCCGCGGAGGTAAAGCTCGGCTCGGGCTGCGCGCCGCGGGGCCACAGTCGGAACGCGGGACCCAGGAGACGGAGCGACTATGGACGCGACGCGGGGCCTCGGCACCTTCGTGGTGTGGGACTACGTGGTGTTCGCCGCGATGCTGCTCATCTCGGCCGCCATCGGCATCTATTACGCCTTCGTGGGGGGCGGCCAGCAGACCTCCAAGGACTTCTTGATGGGCGGCCGCAGCATGACAGCCGTGCCCGTGGCGCTGTCCCTCACCGCCAGCTTCATGTCGGCGGTCACCGTCCTGGGCACCCCCTCGGAGGTCTATCGTTTTGGGGCCATATTCAGCATCTTTGCCATCACTTACTTCCTTGTGGTGGCCATCAGCGCGGAGGTCTTCCTGCCTGTGTTCTACAAACTGGGAATTACCAGCACCTACGAGGTAAAGCGTCAGGGTGGGTTGGGGAGGGGAGGGCTAGGACGTTTCAGGCTCTTGGAGGGATTTTCCTGGGGGGCAGACTCACCACCACATCGAAATCTCTCCCTGCCCAGGTCCATCACCTCCCCTGCCCTCCCCTTTTAGGGAGAAGTGTCCTGTGAAGGCGATAAAATCTTGGGACTTGCTCTCATGAGCTCAGTGAGAAAGAGACGCTTCCAAAATAAACGGAGTGATTTGGATTAGTGCTCACTAAGGCGCTTTCTGCTTTAACATCTTTGATTCTGAGTCAAGGGGAAAGATTTAAAAACTGTTTATCTGGGGGAGAGTTAGTTGTTCAAATCTCAACCCCTCCTCCTTGAAAGGAATCCCCTTATTCCAGGTCCACAGGCATCATTCACTTTCCCAGGATAGTCGGGGAAGAATTTGCACTCTCCCCTCCTTGCCCCTCCACACATGCGCGCGCGCACACACACACACACACACACACACACACACACACACACACATTCCCTGGAGAGGCAGATGCCCGAGTGGTTAAGGTGCTGTAACTCCTGTCCCAGTACCTACATTTGAGATCAGATTCTGCCACTTACTAGCTGGGCAACCTTGAGTGAGTTATTTAACCCTTTGTGCCCATTTCTTTCATCTCAAAATGAAAATAGTAATACCAACTACTTCATCTAGTTGTTGAGAGGATTAAATGAGATGATGCAAGGTTTGCATTCAGAAGAGTGTCTGGGGCTGAGTGAGTGCTGGATAAATGTGGGCCATAAGTATTTGTGGTGATAGTGGCAGATGTGGTTATCTTGGGATCACTAGGAAGATTTGGCTGCAAGGTTCTTAAACAGCTCTGCCTTTTCTCTATGTGGAAAGATGATTAGGAAAGGCACTTGTTGGGATGAGCACTAGGTGTTATATGTAAGTGATGAATCACTGGGTTCTACTCCTGAAACTGATACTACACTGTATGTTAAATAACTCGAATTTAAATCAATAAATAAAAGAAAACCATCTTTCCTGTTGCACATTTCCACTGGTTATAGGTTATCTCCAGTTGTCTGCAGAAAAAGGCTTTGTGAAGATAGGGAATGTTTGGTTTAGTTTAAAGAGCTGTTGAGTGTGAGTAGGGGGGCCAGTTCAGCACCCTCAGTGGGCTCTTCACCCAGGCACTAAACCCATAAGGAATATGGACAAACCTGTGGAAGTTTCCTCTCTTCCAGGTCATTATCCAGAGGACTCTGACACTCATTCTTAGCCTTGAGTTTAGGTACTTTTTGCTCCAGTCCAGGGCCACTGGAATGTGGTTTCCTAGTGAGGCTGATTCAGCTGGTGCTGGCTACAGGGCCTCAATGGCCCAAAAAATGTTAGTGACAAACTGCCTGGGCTGTAGTGATGCCATCCAGGGCGAGGCATCCCTGTGACAACAGTGCCTTCCACTCACTCTGACCATTATGTTTGGGAGAGTTCAGTCATCACCCCAGAGGAGCAGGATGGAATTTCTTTGTTTTGCTCAAAGTTAACTAACAGGCTGCCCCAGGCCAAACTCCATTTTCTGGGTTTGTTTGTTTGTTTGTTTGTTTGTTTTTACCCTCAAATTGTTTTGAAAGAAAATTAATTTAGCATTTGTGATGTTGAGAAGTCAAATACAATTCCAGATTCTAGCTTCTTTCGAGAATTTAGAAGCCTGGTGACACCGGGCTTACATTCCCTGGGGTGAATTCCATGATCAGTTCCCAGTTTTATGGCCATTGCTCTCACTCTCTATTAATTTCTACACTGAGACCTCATGGTCATGGCTGCATGGTTATCTTCTCATGACAGGGAAATCTTTATCTGCATTTTTGTCTTTCTCAAAAATGCAAAAGGGAATATGGACAGGGGTGAAGGGAGTATTGGGTTTTGAGGGAGATGTGAGAGGACATATTTCTTAGCAGATATGAGGAGTATTCCAACATTTTAATATGAAACCCTCAGTGCCTGGGTGGCTCAGTCGGTTAAGCGTCCGACTTCAGCTCAGGTCATGATCTCATGGTTTGTGGTTTTGAGCCCTGCATCGTGCTCTGTGCTGACAGCTAGCTCAGAGCCTGGAGCCTGCCTTGGATTCTGTGTCTGCATCTCTCTCTGACCCTCCCCTGCTCACGCTGTCTCTCTCTCTCAGAAATAAAATAAAATAAATTAAATTAAATTACATTAAAAAAATAAAATAATAAAATGAACCCCTGGCTGATCCACTTGTGTATGTTACTTGATGAGCCCTGAGGCAGTTTGAGTCTGTGAGCTCTGATCTGTAGTTATCCAACTCCAAAACTCAGAAAGGATTTGAAGAACCTCACAAGAGGACTTCAGTCCCCAGAGATGAATGCTCCTCTCATAAGCACTGACCCATGCTGCCTCGGGCCAGCAGCATTAACTCAACCAGAAACAGATTTCCCGTACATTTCTAGTGGTGGAGGCTGTTAGCAGGGTTCCAGCTAAAAATGGCAAGAAGTTAATGTTTACTAAATGCTTAATACATGTGTGGCACTGGGCTGCATGGTTTACACACATACATTATCTGAGTCAATACTCAAAACAATCCTTATAAGGGAGGTGCTAGGAGAGTCCCATTTTGCAGACAAAAGAGACTCAGGGTAAGTTAAGCTACATAAGAGAGTGTGAGCCTAGAGGCTGTGCAGTGGTGCATACCGGCTGCTTCTGAAGGCTCTGGTGAGCCTGTTATAACCCTCAAGCAGGGCTTATAAGAGTGCAGAGAGAACAAGGGAAGTAGAACAGAACACACAGAGTTGTGGGCATGCTGGCGACATCCATGACTTGTGGGTGCCCAGCAGCTGGGGTCAGGGAAGTTAGGATAACGTGCTTTGTGCCTAACGATTGGCCATAGCAAACACTTTCCTGTGACTATTTTCTTTTCTTTTATGCTTCAGAGGGTATCATCTACACCGAATAGGAATTCTACCCTGGTATTCTTGCTCAAATATGAAATCTATTCCTACTTATATTTCTTTAGCTAGAATTGGCTGTTCAGAAGCATATTTGTTATCTGTTTATCACTGCTTTCAATGTACAGGCCTGATAGATGTTAGCCACTTCCAGGCCCACAGACAAGAAGTATAATGTAGGAATACAGTTTCGTTTACCGCTTCTTCAGGATCTTTCTGGATCCATGAAATCTGTGTGTTGGAACTGAGTTGTCCAGGTGTGTGTGTGTGTGTGTGTGTGTGTGTGTGTGTGTATTTATTTTTAATATATATGTATGTTTATAATTGTGGGTTATATTTGTGGATTTGGATGCCAAATTTCTAATGTCTTACTTTTGAATAACAAGTTATAATATTTCCCCATCCATTTATATCACTTGGTAGTCTCCAAAGCCCTGCAAAGTAAGAGGGGAAAGAATTAGTACTGTGATCCTCATTTTCAAGAGGAGGAGTCTAAGATTTCCAGTGCCTGCCCCAAGCTTGTGGAGTCATGAGCGGGACTGGGTCAATGGCTGGAACTCCTCCCCCAAACTATACTGTGCTGTATAGTTTTTACCTGTTAGTTGTTTCTGAAGGTCGTCCCATGTGCCAGTGCCACCTGCTCACCCTGAGTCTTAGAGACATGGTCGGTTTGCCTATTTATTTGGTATTCCAAATAATGTAGTGGTTCCCTGCCCAGATTTGAGCCTCAAATGGTCCTAGACTTGCATTGTGGCTGTGAGAGTTGTTATGTTGCAACTTTGGTATTCTCTCTGAACCCTAGTGCCCTCGCCTCTGACTGGCAATACTGGCCCTCGGGAGTTGTTGGAAGGACAGTGTATACAGCAAGTACTCTATAACTGTTTCCTGGGATTATGGAGCAAAAATATCTGGTGTCGTTTCCTCTGATTATTACTTAATATCAGTTTTCCCTTCCTCTTTCTTTTCTCTTGCTATATGAAAAAACTGTTTCCAGCTTTAAAATTCTCTCTACGTGAGTAATAAATATTCAAGTTAAAGAATGTTTGAGGGGCGCCTAGGTGGCTCAGTCGGTTAAGCGTCTAACTTCGGCTCAGGTCATGATCTCATGGTTCGTGGTTTCGAGCCTCGTGTCAGACTCTGTGCTGACAGCTAACTCAGAGCCTGGAGCCTGTTTCAGATTCTGTATCTCCCTCTCTCTCTGACCCTCCCCTGTTCATTCTCTCTCTCGCTCTCTCTCTCTCTCAGAAATAAATAAAACATAAAAAATTTTTTTAAAAAAGAATGTTTGAGACCCTAGCTTTATTCCAGCTCTAAAATTCTGATTCTAACTCTATAACATATTATGATATATAGTATAGGAGATAAGCAGATTATTTTATTTTATTTTATTTTATTTTATTTTTTTATTTCTAGGAGAGAGAGAGAGAGAGACAGCGTGAGCAAGGGAGGGTCAGAGAGAGAGGGAGACACAGACTCTGAAATACGCTCCAGGCTCCGAGCTGGCAGTCAGCACAGAGCCCAATGCGGGGCTTGAACCCACGAACCGCGAGATCATGACCTAAGCGAAAGTCAGTCGCTTAACCAACTAAGCCACCCAGGCGCCCCAAGAGGATTATATTTTAAGATATGGCAGATGTCTAGGAAAGTAGGAAAAATGGCAATTGTTCGTTGGCCCTGAACGGAAACTGACATAGACTGATTTAAATAAACAATAACTTATTTGGGAGGTTATAGGAGTAGTCCATCAGAGAGTGAAAAGCTGAACAAAGAGGCTGTAAAAAGACTGGAAGCCAGGGACCTCTTCAGGCTACTATCAGGATCAGTCCACTTTTACTCCAGTCATTTTCTATCTTTATATTATGCCTCTAAGATTTAAGTACCCATTGGAGAGAGAAGCCTATTGCCTGAACTTGGGTCATATGACCATCCCTTGGTCAGAAGAGGCAGGGCACCTTGATAGACAGTTAAATCACAATTGCCTACAGTGGGAAAGGTTGATTCCCAAGACAAAGGGGAGAATGGCATTTTTCTCATTCTAAAAATACAGACTATAATCCACTTATATGATATTCTTGAAAAGCCAAAACTAGGGATGGAGAACTAGGGTAGGGAGAGAGTGTGCCTACAAAGGAACAACATGACAGAGTTTTCTGGTGGTGGTGGAATTGTCCTGTATGTATTAAAACCCAATGGGCTGCACTTTAAAACATGAATCAGTTTTGCCATATGTAAATAAAAAGAGTAGTAAAGTAGGAATACAGAATACAAATCACTTATGAGGTTGCTTTAAATTTCTAACCCTTTACATCTTAAGCAGCTGATTTTTAACAATAGTATAAAGTTTTCACATATTAACCTTTTTTTCCTGTTTTGGAAACAGTATTTAGAGCTTCGATTTAACAAATGTGTTCGTCTCTGTGGAACAGTCCTCTTCATTGTTCAAACAGTAAGTTACTGTCCTAATGTTAGTTTATTTTACCTTTTGGCATCTAAAATGTTTCAACTAAGGCATCTGGGCCAAGGTTATTTGATAAGTGAATGAAAGATAAGAAAGAGATGTTGAAAATAGGAGACAAAAAAGGAAAAACACTTGCTGTTATATGGCATCAATTCTTAAGATCATTAAACAGTGTTTTAGCAAATACCCCACTTCCTGGAAAATGGAATGGTTTAAGTGAATGCTAAGTATTACATTAGTCAAACAATAGTTAATGTTGCTTCAGAGCACATGCTTTTTCCTATTCCACCTCCCCCTTTTCCCATCAAATTGACTGAGAAGTTATCATTACTGAGATGACAAAGATATTTGAAGGAGTTGTAGTAGCTGATAGTAGGAATTGTAACAAAGAGAAAACAAGTGGTATGTTTCTTAGTGTTTTGCAACTTGTTGAGTAACAGGTTTGAAAAAATTAACTGACATAGGAAGACACTAGGAAATAATTTCAATTGCTTGAAAGCATGCTGACAAAAGTCAATCAGAGCTCTCTTTTAAAAAATGGAAACTTAAGCCCTAATTGAAGTGGTTACCAAGTATAAAACAACAGAACCATGAGCTCTGGAGTTTTTAAAGCCAAGTACATAGTCCAGTAATATAAGTAAATGCAAATATAGATTTACTGATTGACACAAATGGAAAGCAAAGATTTGCCAAGCAGCGAGTGACGGAGAACACTTCCCAGTCTTCATCCAGGTTACTGGAAGCTTGTCATGATTATTGTCAATCATTTATATCACTCTTCCTCTTGACAGCTAAGTGCTTTTTGGGGAATGGGTCTGTTAATGGAGATCTAGGCAAGAGTTTTCATTCTAATCCCTATTTGTAATTCACTTCTCAAATCACAAGCTACCCTAAGGATTTGCTATAGCATAATAGAACACATTTGTAAATTATTTAACCTGACTCCATTTTATATCTCTGTAAATTGCATAACTTAGATTGGTCCTTAACACTTTCAGTGTAAAAGGAAGGGGCTCTTTGGGGTCTAGTAGAGATTCTGACAAAGAACTGAGGCTGGTATCTTGCATTTACCAACTGTTCAGTTCCCCTTTGGATCATTTTTACAAATACCTACAGAGATGAAAAGTGGGGAACAAGTGTCAGGAAGGTGGCCTGTGGTCATGCTTTCACATCTTCAAGTTGGTCAGGATAATGACTGTGGAAAGTTCATTACTGCAAAAAGAGGAAAGCTTTACTATCTCCAACTTGAAGGACTTACTTCCATTGACCTACCCATGTAATATAATCAAACATTCAAATACTACCTAATATGGCTTTTTTCCACCGTATGTTTTTATAGAATAAAAATAGGGAATCAACCAACAAAATTTTTAAAAAATTTTTTTACATTTATTTATTTTTGAGAGAGAGAGAGTGAGCACAAGTGGGGAAGGGGCAGAGAGAGAGAGGGAGACACAGAATCCAAAGCAGGCTCCAGGCTCCAAGCTCTCAGCACAGAGCCTGACGTGGGGCTTGAACTCACAAATCATGAGATCATGACCTGAGCTGAAGTCAGACGCTTAACTGACTGAGCCACCCAGGCACCCCAATCGTATGTTTTTATAGAGTAAATCACAGAACATATATGAATAGACAGGATATAATATACAGTATTTGAAAGATGGGAAGCAGTGAAAATGATATCCTGAGAAAAAAGACCATATTTATCATACTACTGTATCCCAGATTCATAAATATTTGTTAGATTATGGGTGAAAAACAATATACAGTATAGAAAAGATGGAATATAGTTTTTGTTGGCTTTCAGGGTGTTTTCAAGGACAAATTGACACTTTTTAAAAAATTAATGAGCATCAAACTTTTTGAAACTAGTTTCTAAAATTATTACTGTTTTTCCCAATTAATTATGCAGTGATTAACAATAGTTTCAAGGCATATGAATGAGGGGCCATCTCTTTTTTTAAGTTTGTATTCTTCCTTTCCTTCTAATTGTTTACATTGAGGAAAATTGATTTCAAGGTTGAGTTGATGGATCAATGACATCTGCACCAAGCACCATGGAAAAAGTCCATGTTTTTAACAAATATGGCCATAAAAGATTTTTGTAACCTCTGAGCACACCACAAACAATAAAGGAGAATCAACTTCACTTAAATAACATTTTTAAGTTACAAATTTTATCAAGTATACTGAAAACTACTGTTTTAATTTATAATTGAGTTTATAAAAAATAATATTTTATTTTATAATTCATACAGTATATTTGGTTTTCTTTTTCCCCTAGATTCTGTATACTGGAATTGTTATTTATGCCCCTGCCCTGGCTTTGAATCAAGGTACATTTTAGAGTTGACAACTATGTCACTCACATTTTGGGATTCATTTTTAAATAGACTTTATTCTCTCTTTGGGGAGATGGGGAGATGGAGGAATTCTTCCAGTAACCTGCATCAACTTGAGGGGAGCAACATGGGTTTAAGTGTTTACTCTAGCAGCTTCTTTGGGTTCCTGGATCAATAGCTCCAAAGGATGTATGATTAATAGATCCACAGACCTCACTGAGGAGTGAATCTTGGATGTACCACCCAGCCATGCCCCATTCCTTCAGAATGAACGCCCCCTATGGTCTAAGTCACAAATGGCTGCACTTTCTTCCTTAGTGGCTCTAACTGGGAGCCCATAGTCAGGAGGATTCTGTGTTACTCACCTCAGTTCCATTATAAAGTCGGTCAGAGAGAGAAGCTTTTCTTCTTCCCATTTCTAATGTGGTCCAAAATGCAAGATAGGGAGATTTGTGTGACTTGAACTATCAGATCTTTCCTAGTGACAAAATGAAAGATGGTACAGTACCCTTTTAAACAAATGTATGAAAATGGTGCTGATCAACAAACTACTCTTTGGATTTGGGCAGATAAAAGCCATGAAGCTGGAATAGTTTGCTGAATCAAAGGTGCCTGTTAGTCATATCTGCAAAAGGCTTTGGGGAAACCTCATATCCTTTGAATTCTTATCAATCAGATATGAATTTATCTCTAAAGCTTTCTTGTGAAGTGAACAAGTGGACTTTGATGGGAAAAATGTGAATTAATTCCTGGAGTTAATATAAAATGGAAAAGCCCTGCTAAATCCACACTCTAATTTCTTGATTTCATGATAGACAGTAATTATTACCTAAATTTATAAAGTATAACAGTATCATTACAAAGAATAATTCCATGATATCACATGCTCTTGAATTTTGAATGACAGGCATGTTCTATGTCAACCTTACCAGCATCATGAATGGGTCAATTTCATGTATAAAGAGCTGAGCTATAAACTTCATAAGTTACCTATTGACTTTAAGTATAACTAAAGATGTTGGCTTTAGGGTTTTAAAGTACATTTGTGGCAGTAAGAGAGTACTGCTTTCCATCTGTGAAGAAATTGAGGACTCAGGTCTTATCAGTTCATTGAGCCATTTACTAGGAATTAGGACCCACAAGACTGCATTTTGATCACTTGAATATCAATTGTATATTTTACTGAGTGTGCAACAGATGCTCCAGAGAAACTTGTTTAACTGAAATGAATCTTAACATTCTTTAGGTCTAACCATTTTCTTTTTACTTTTTTTTAAATTATAGAAAACTTCACACATATGTTAGAAAAAAAAAGAATAGCATATTGAACTCTAACATATTCTTAACTTCACTAAAAATGATCAACTCTTGGTTTAATTCACTCTGTTTCACTCACTAGATTATTTTGCTGTAAATCTGAGATATTTTATCATTTTATCTGAATTCAGTGTCTTTTAAAAATAAGGATATGATTTTTTTTCCACTGAGGTAAAATTGGCATATAACATTATATTATACTATAATGATTCAATATTAGTATGTGTTGCAAAATGACCACCACAATGTCTAGCTAACATCTGTCTTCATACATAGTTGAAAAAGTTCTTTTTCTTGTGATGAGAGCATATTAATATTTATTCTCTTAGCAACTTTCAAATATGCACTACAGGATTATTAACTATAGTCACTATGCTGTACATTACATCTCCAGGACTTAGGTATTTTATAGCTGGAAATATGTTCCAGCAAGTGTTTTGCAAATACAATTATACCATTTTTATACCTAAAATATTAAAATCATTTTTTGATACCATCAATATGAAGTCAGTGTTCAGATTTCCTAGATTTTTTCTTTTTTATTGTATTTCATCATATGCATCTCCAAAATCTGTTTATCCATTCTTTTATTGAGGGACATTGGGTTGTTTCCAGTTTTAGGCTACAATGAATTAAAGCTACTGAGATCTTTTTTAAAATTTTTTTAAAATTAAAAAAAAATTTTTTTAATTAAAAAAATATATTTTTTTGTTTTTATTTATTTTTGAGACAGAGAGAGACACAGCAAAAGTGGGGAGGGGCAGAGAGAGAGGGAGACACAGAGTCTGAAACAGGCTCCAGGCTCTGAGCTGTCAGCACAGAGCCCAACGCGGGGCTCGAACCCACAAATCGTGTGATCATGACCTGAGCCGAAGTCGGATGCTTAACCGACTGAGCCACCCAGGCGCCCCCTGATATCCTTCTTATACAGGTTTTGTTTTGTCTAGCTTTGTATTTGTTACAACCTTTTAAAGCAGAATGTGACTTGAGTACTACATTTTCACTCACAAAACTTGCTGAGTTAATTTTTGAACAGCTTTACAACATACCTAAGTAAGCTTGTAATTTTGCTACCCTAAACAATGCTTTTCTTTGGAAAACAAACCCCATAGACAATGAATCCCATCAAGTTGGTTCAGTTTAACATACTCATTTTTAGAGGCCTGTTACAGGTAATTGACAACTACAGGAGATAGAAGATTTAAAAAGTAGATCCTATACCACCTCACGCCAGTCAGAGTGGCTAAAATGAGCAAATCAGAGAACTCGAGATGCTGGCGAGGATGTGGAGAAACGGGCACCCTCCTGCACTGTTGGTGGGAATGTAAACTGGTACAGCCCCTCTGGAAAACAGTGTGGAGGTTCCTCAGGAAACTAACAATAGAACTCCCTTATGACCCAGCAATAGCACTGCTAGGAATTTACCCAAGGGATACAGAAATGCTGAGGCATAGGAGCACATGTACCCCAATGTTCATAGCAGCACTCTCCACAATAGCTAAAACATGGAAAGAGCCTAAGTGTCCATCAACAGATGAATGGATCAAGAAGATGTGGTTTATCTATACCATGGAATACTACATGGCAATGAGAAACAATGAAATCTGGCCATGTGTAGCAACATGGATGGACCTTGAGGGTGTTATGCTGAGCGAAATAAGTCAGGCAGAGAAGGACAAATACCATATGTTTGCACGTATAGGAGGATTAGGAGGAACTTGACGGAGGACCAAGGGGGAGAAGAAGGGCGGAAATGGTGGGGGAAAGGGAGAGAGGCAAACCATGAGAGACTCTTGAATGCTGACAAAAACTGAGGACTGGGGGGGGGGGGGGGGGGGGGGGATGGGCATGGAGGAGGGCACTTTGGGGATGAGCACTGAGTGTTATGTGGAAACTAATTTGACAATAAACTATTTGTAAAAAAAATAAAAAAATAAAAAAAAAATAAAAAAAAAGAGATATATAAAAAAAAATAAAAAAAAAAATAAAAAAAATAAAAAAAATAAAAAGTAGATCCTAGAAGGTGAAAAGTGTTTGAACCAATATTTTTCTTTTAAACATCAGGGGATAGCTCAGAACACTTCAGTGATAAAAAGTTTGGTCTTACTAAGGAATCTGCTAATTAGCTAAACACTTCAGACCTTACAGCTAACACTAAGTTACTTACGTCTTACAACAAATGCTACCTTGTCTTATTAAAATAAGCCACCATGGAACTAGATAGAAAAGAAAAACTAGCTGGGTTTTAGTTCCTACGTATCACAGTATCACACTCAGAAAGGGAAAGAAATCTTATATTCCCCTTAAGTGGTTCCTGTCCTGCCATACAGACTTTAAAGTGTTAACGAAAGTGAAGAAAAACATCTTTGAAAGTATATTGTCAGGGGAGATGAAGACAAAGTATTGAATACATGTACAGGTAATTCTTGGGGCACCGCTTAGTCAAGTTCTTCCATGTGTGACATGTCATCATCCCCTACGAGGGGGCAGCATCTCTTTGGTTACAGCAGCATTGCCATCATCAGTGGTGGGGACATCTTCATTGATACCAAGACCAAGTTTGATCATGTTGTAGAACCTGTTAGCACACGTCTGGGAATTCACTTTTGGCACACGTTGTTATTTCTATTGGGTGAACACCTGGAAGCAGTATAGTTAAACATACACCTATTTATGGTCCAGCTCAGGGCAAATTCACATAAAAATTTAAGAGAAACTGGCAAATAGTTTTTCTAAATGGATGTACCATTTTCCACGCCACTCCATAACGTATGCATGTCTCAGTTACTCCAGTTGTGCTCCTGCCCTGGCTTTGAATCAAGGTACATCTTAAAGCTACCACATTTGGGTCTAATTTATTATATAGGAAAACAATTGACTTTTGTATATTAACCTTGTGTCATGCGAACTTGCTATAATCACTAGTTCCAGGAGTTTTTTTTTTTTTTTTTAAATATCAATGATCATGTCATCTGTGAACAAAGAGAATTTTATTTCTTCTTTCCCAGTCTATATACCATTTATTTCCTTTCTCGTACAGTGTTGAGAAGGAATGGTGAGAGAGGGCGTCCTTGTCTGGTACCTGTTGTTAGTGGAAAAGCTTTGAGTCTCTCACCGTTAAATAGGATGTTAGCTGTAGGACTGTTGTAGACAGCCTTTATCAAGTTGAGAAAGATCCCCTCTATTCTTAGTTCAGAGTTTTTATCATGAATGGGTGTTGGATTTTGTCAAATGCTTTTTCTGCATCTTTTGATATGATCATGTGATCTTTCTTTTTCAGTCTGTTAATATGATAGATTCCATTAATTGATATGAAAATATTGAATGAGCCATGAATACCTGGGATAAATCCCTCTTGGTCGTGGTTTTTAATTCTTTTTATGCTTTTTTTGGGATTCAATTTGCTAATCCTCAATTTGTTGAAGATTTTTGCATCTGTGTTCCTGGGAAATATTGGTTTGTAGTTTTCTTGTAATGTCTTACCTGGTTTTGGAATTAGGGCAATCCTGGCCTCATAAAATGAGTTAGGAAGTATTCCCTCTGCCTCTTTTCTCTGCAAGAGGTTGTAGGCAATTGGTATAATTTTTTCCTTAAATTGTTAGAACTTACCAGTCAGCCCATCTCAGTCTAGAGTTTTCTGTTTTGGAAGGTTTTTAATTATTGATTCAATTTCTTTAATAGATATAGGCCTATTTAGATAATCTGTTTCTTCTTGTATGAGTTTTGGCCCATTATGTCTTTCAAGGAATGGGTCTATTTTATGTAGATTACCACATTTGTGGGCTGAGTTGTGATCCTTCCACTTAAAAAGAATATAATATGCCCCTCCACTTCCAGGTAAATGGTAGCAAATCATACGACTTCTCTTCTTCTTGGTTCCATCTTAGTAACATGCACAACTTGTCTTTCAAAGAGTGGTAGAATAGCGTATTTATTGAATCATGATGACCAATACTCTATGACTCCGTTCAGTCTGATTAACGTCTTCACAATATCAAGTTATTTCTTAGCTTCATTACAATATAAATGCCTTCTCATGTATTTTATTTAGCCAGTGTTGGATCTAGGGATGATGTCTGAGGGTAGAAACCAGGTCCATTTAACTCATCAAGTAAAATTTCAAATTCCACTTGTGTGGGGACATTTTATGAGATTTGGACCTAGTTTTAGGCAAGTGTAGAGAGGTAGGGAGAAGATAGGTGCCCCATAAATGATATAGCTTCCTACTGATGATTTTTCTAGAAGTATTTTTATTATACATGTTTTTCAGTTATTCATGCATTTTCTTTTTTTCTTTCACAGTCACAGGATTTGATCTGTGGGGTGCAGTAGTGGCAACAGGGGTGGTCTGCACGTTCTACTGCACACTGGTATGTCAAGAACATTATTTCTCCTTTCACTCTATCCATTTGCTTTGCAAAATGGAAGATTCCAGTAGTCGTGTTCTGCAAACTGTGTTTTTCATTTGTAATAACCTATTCTTATCTTCCGCAAGTGTAACTTTTTGTAAGAAATATTGAGTCTGGGGAAAAATTTGATTCTTTATAATAGAACATTGATCATAACTGAAACTTCTTTCTTTTATCTGAACCATTGTAGTGGTCCTGAATTGTGTCTTCTAATTAATCCTTACTGTTGCTAAATTATAGTTGCTTTTATATTATTCCTCTGCTCAGAAACCTGAGGTAGTTTCCCATTGCCTATAGGTGGGAGTTACAGTCAAAATATATAACAACCATACTGTATGGACACTGGTATTATCATGGATGCTAGTCCTTAGCAATGGTGCAACTCTCTATCATGGATGCTAGTCCTCAGCAGTGTGCATTCCTGACATACTAGGTCTTAAGACTTTAGTTGCTGGGTCTTTTACAAGATGGGTATCTGCAGGAAGGGATGTTTCAGCCAAGGACATAGGAAGTGGAGGGAGACACTTGGCAAGTGTTTGGCAGTGGCTAGTACAAAATGATTTTAGTATTTCAACAACTGGTATGACCTTCTATGCGCATACTTGATTGGATATCAGTCCTGCCTATGGGATAAAGTCTATGAAAATGCCTCTTGCAATTTGACTCTGAATTTTCTTCCCAGCAATCTACTTATAACATTCCACTTTGCTTCAAAATGTATATCTGGATACACTCAACATGCCATGTACTTTGACATTTTAATGTTTTTACCCATGCTGTTTTCTCTTCTGGGATGACCTTTCATTTTTGCCTGTTTCTATCTGAAGGCTTGGCTCAAATCTCACCTTCTCTTGAAGGTTCTCCCAAGCTTACAATCTGCCTTGAATGTACCTCTGGGCCCAGGTCCATGTTTTCATTATATCCAGCATAGCATATAAGCATGTAGATTATTAATAATGTCTGATAAGAGTATTAATCCTAATACACTTTTCCCCTCAAAGGGTGGTCTTAAAGCAGTTGTCTGGACAGATGTTTTTCAAGTTGGGATCATGGTGGCTGGATTTGCATCTGTGATTATACAGGCTGTAGTGATTCAAGGTGGGATCAGCACTATTCTAAATGATGCCTATAATGGTGGAAGATTGAACTTCTGGAAGTAAGTTGCTATTTACCTCATGATCAATAGAATTCTCCTTTTTTTTCCCCATAAAAATAATCTTTTTATTGAAGTAGTAAGTTTATATTAGACCTCTAAAAAATAGGTCTCTAAGAATGTAGTACAAAAAAAATGAAGCTGACAAGTTAATGTGTGAGGGGTTTCCACCAAGTCTTTAAGGAGTTAAAACAGTCAGATGGTTAGTTATATGGTACTTAGAATGGTTCTTCCTCCTGAGAAAGGACTGATAGCAAAAGAGTATTTTTCTTCCAAATATTAAAATCTGGAATTGGTTAAAGGGTGGGTAGGGAAATTAGAGAAGAGATAGTTGAGAAATAAGAAAAGGAAACCCTTAAGAGAAAAACACTAGAAGACCATGCTGCCATTTTGACAGTTTTTTGTTTCAAGCAGCCTAGAGAATTTTTCTATTGATATTGCCCTGAAAATATATAGTATATTATTATTATATCTGATAATTGTATATATGTATTGTTATATAAAATTATATATTATTTCTAGAAAATTTACTAGAAGAGTTATGACTAATATTTCAAGTGTCAATAGATTGTGTAATGTAACATCTTAAACAGTTATTCGGATTTCCTAGAGAAAGACCACTGGGGAAACTAGACATTTCATCCCAAATATATCACACAACTTAAAGGAATATTTAAAACACTTTCCACTGTGGTTTAGTAGTGTCATTCTTGTTATCATGTTCAACGTGGAAAGGGGTTCTTTTTGACATGGACCGGCATATTTCCTCTTTAAGCAGCCTACTTTGAGACAGGAAAGCTGAAATCACTGGCAAGAAGAAAGAAAAAAACATTTCTTACTTGGTGTCTCTCTTCTAGTGTTTGAAAATGGCCCTAATGTTTGAGAAGAGCTTTTTCAGAAATCGGACAGGGACGACATGTTAATTTGTAAAGATGAGCTGAATTATGACAAATCACTTTCAACTATTTTCTATTATTATTATTATTATCATTATTATATTATTACTAGTTCAAGATTCAGAGTCCGAGGAAGAGCACCTCCAATTATCCTAGCTTGGGCATGATTGCATACCTTAGTTGGGGCAGAGCAGGGCTTTGTATTGACAACCATTGAGACTATTTTATGGGGCAATGGTTGTTTCCCTAAAACTTATTTGGGTTGCTGTTACTAGAGGACCGGAGAATGGATACCAACAAGCAGAAACAACCAATGACCACTCAGAAGATCTTGATTACTCCCAACTCTTTTCCTAGTAGGCTTAGATTGAGGGGAGAGGGTATGGAACCAATCATTTTTTCTGCAAGATAATTATCACTTTGTATAAAGGCAACCCATATTGCTGCATTGAGGTAATACCTATACACTGATAAGAGATTCTTAAAAGTAAAATATTTGACATTTTCATGATGTTTACTTTGGAGGCTACCAATCATTAAATAATAATGAAAATCCTTATTGTGTATCCCTTGTTATTCTGACATGTTTAAGAATATGGTGGGCAAAATATCTGCTCTGGTGATGATAAAGAAGAGAAAGATTTTGTGTTGGTATTTTCTGTGTGATCTATATTTGTCATATATATATACATATATATATATGCATATGGCTCTAAAACCACTAAATTGGGTCTTCTAAATCTTGTCTTACTTCCCTCAAGTAGCTTGCTGAATCCTTTTGGTTCTTGACTTCATTAGCTAATATAGTAGCTGCTTTCTCTATGGGATAAAGGGTCAACACTCTTGAAACTCTTAAACTTTGATATGAAACTTAGAGAATAGAATAGAGGCTCTTATAATTCCATAAGAATGCCAGGATATGTATAAAATTAGAATACTTTCTTCAACTAGTCTTAAATATAAGATTTGAGATAGATTTGCAGAATTTCATAATTTTTTAGCAAGTTTCTTTGAAAGCCAATTTTGCAGAAATTTGTCATGCTCATACTGTGTATCATAGATTAATAGAATCATTCCTTCCAAGATAGTACATTAAGAAAAGTTAAAAGACATATCAAATATGGAAATTGATCTTTCTTTGTAACAATATTTTGGGCTTTGGTATATGTCATAAAGTGACTTTTCACTATTAGCATTTAGTATGTGCACACAGCATTTTAAGAAAGCATGATTGTACTGACATAGTAAGTTTAGAACGTGAAAGCCTTTAAACTGCATTATTTGACTGAGTTCTTGATCTTGAATATAAATTAGAAGTCTGACTGTACAAGTGCTAGAAGAGGAATTATATATGCATCATATAACAAAATATTTTTGTTAATTTTGTGTTCATTTCAGTACCATATCTATTGCTGTGGTGCACTTAGGAACTTCCCTTTCTTTATTGCTCTTTTTAGTTTCATACTCTTCTCTAATTACAGTATGGCAGACTTGTTTAAATAATAATTTCCTAAAGCTACAGAATGATTTTTATAAAATCTTGGAATAGTTAGAACATTCTTTTTTCCTCATTTCCACCCAGAGTTTCCAATTCTCTGAAATTATCCACTTTTATTTCACTGAACTTAAGCTAGAAATATTTCTACCTTTTTATTACTTAATAAATTTGTTCATATTTATATATGTATTTACATATTTACATAGATATACATTGATTGCTTCCAAAAACTCTTCTAGAATAATTTTCTATAGTTTTTTGCTTGTAGCTCAGATTTATTTTCTGTTTCTTTTTACTTAGTTTTGATCCTAACCCTTTGCAAAGACATACTTTCTGGACAATTATTATAGGAGGGACCTTCACATGGACCAGCATCTACGGGGTCAACCAATCCCAAGTGCAGAGATATATTTCCTGTAAAAGCAGATTCCAGGCAAAAATGTAAGCCAAACTATGGTATAGAAATCATTAATAACCATCAGTTGTCTTTATTGAAATTCTTTCATTAGGCAATTTTGCTCAGGTTTAAGTCTTATGTATCATGAAATTCCAAGAGATAAATTATACTTAGTTATAATTATAAAAAGATCAAGTAAAACAAAGTAGTACAGTATATTTTAAATCAGATATTTGAAGTAGTTATATGAATTATTTAGTAAAACAAATCTTATCAAATAAGGCTTTTATTGTGGAATTATGGAGGATAAAAAGGAATTATTGAGGATAAAGGTTATAAATACAAGGCTCTTTTCATGAAGGAACTTAATATCTAGCTAGGAAGACATATGCAAATATGCAAAAAGTGAAATAACACTAGAAAAGAATAACAGTTCTAGAAGGATAAAATGATAGAAGAAATGGTCAAGGACATTATATTGCCAGATGTGTTGGTGTGTTTTATTTTCGGACACAGTGATAGATTTATAGTTCTGCTCTAATACTTGCTAATTACATGATCATGGGCAAGTTACCTAGTCTCCCTGAATCTTAGTTTCTGAACTTAAAAAAAAGAGCATAAGAAATAGTATATATTTCATGAGAGGTATTGTAAAATGCTGTGTTTGGGACACACATGGTATGGGTCCAGTAAATGTGAATTCTATTTTCAATTCATAGGATGTGAAGGCAGAGGATGGGTGAGAGATTTCTCTCAAGCAGGCAGATCCTGAATAATGACCATATGTGGGCAGTGGAGAATAGTGGGAGAACATTCCACATAGACATTGATTTGAACATAGCCCAGAGGTCGGATGGACAACATGGTCAGGGAACCCTCAAGCCTATTGTGGCTTGAGCAAAGAGTACAAATGGTGGCTGGTTTTCTCAGGGACCCTCAGATCAGTGTGGTGACCACCATTCCCCATGCTGATAAACAAGGCGGACTGGGCCCACATGCATTTAGGAACTTAAAAAATCCCAAATACCTTAAGAGTAACAGCATGATTAAAGTAGGACAAGGAATGGCAATTCTATTTCTATTCAAAGGAGAACATGAAAATATTGTGGTGTCACCTGTCAGAACTCAATATATTGAAGGTAAATTGGTTTAGGTATTTTCTGTCTTTGGAAAATTCTGTAATAAAATGCCTACATGAAAATCAGCATAGTAATTGGATATAGAATCCCTCAAAAGTGAGCTGAAGGGTTCTGGTATTTATAGGAACTTTGAAGGAATGTAATTTATACATCCAGTAAGCCACTGGACGTTAAATCTATTCTAGAGCTGACACCTCTCCCAAATTAATTGTTCATATTCTCTCCTGTTTCTTTGGGAACATGAAACCCAAAAAGCCCAATTTTATAACTAAAGGACCAGAATTAGAGCTCTAGAGATTTCTTAATAAAAAATAATTTCTTTTGGGGCGCCTGGGTGGCTTAGTTGGTTAAGCGTCCGACTTTCGCTTAGGTCATGATCTCGCGGTTCGTGGGTTCGAGCCCCGCGTCGGGCTCTGTGCTGACTGCCAGCTCAGAGCCTGAAGCCTGTTTCAGTCTGTGACTCCCTCTCTCTCTGACCCTCCCCTGCTCACGCTGTCTCTCTCTCTCTCTCCTAGAAATAAATAAAAATATTAAAAAAAAATAATTTCTTTTGGAATAACCCAGTGGGTCTCCTTAACAAAGAAGATTGCTGAGCTCAGAGCAACTATTTTCTCCTACTTTTTAACATGGGCTCCCTAGGAAGAATGAATCCCAGCCAGAAAGTTAAGACCTACTGACATTGATTGACTAGGGATAGTATTAGATGTTGTTGATAAGAAATCTATTTCAATGGCATTAAAGTCAAAGAAGACTATATAGCAAAGTATTAAACCCATATATGAGCAAGGATATTAGAGCAGATAAGTGTCTGTGTAGATTTAGAGATGAGATATAGTTATTACATTATTTTTAGATAACAAAACATAGAGTAAATTTAGTCAATCAAGGAAAAAAGCTAGCAATCTGTTGTTTGGCACCTGTTGAAGGTAGGTTCTCTTGAAACAGTCTCTTAGATGGAAGTTGGCATGTGACAGCCTGTTAGAAAATCACCACCTGTAGAAGAAAATGAAGAGAAGGAAGCAGGTTTGACTAGAGAGAGAAGTTGGATTGTAATGCGTTCTCAGCCAAGGCCTTAGGGGAAGCTCTAAAGTTGTGCTAACTTATCAGATTTGTCCCAAATTAGGGTGAGGATATTGGCCCTTTAAACCTCTGAATCCACTAGTCGTTGGACACGGGTGCCCCTGGAAAGGAGGCATGACATTGAGGGCAGTACCTCTCTTCAGCCTAGAGCAGCTTGTTTCAGTATCCACTACAACACCCCTGGGAAAACAATGTAGTCATCCTAGTGAGTGAGAGAAATGTTAACTATTCAATTGATTACTAAGACATAGAACTCAATGATATTAATATTCATAATATTGATAACTACCATTTAACAAATGTTATTACATGCCAAACTATGTGATATGTACTATTTCATTTAGTCTTATAGCTCTGTGAGGTAGGCATTGTTATCTGTAGGTATTAATGAAGAAACTGAAGTTCAAAGAGGCTAAATTACTTGCCTATGGTCACATATAATAGATAGAATCACCATTTATGTTCAGGTCTGACTCCAGTGCTGTTTGACAACCTTTATACTCTCCCTTAACACACATCATGTATTATAATGGTGAACATTGGGAAGATACCTGCTCAAGGAATGCAGGTTTGCCTTTCCCACTTATTAGATGATGTTACAAACCACATTTAAGCAAGTCTGATGAGTTGCTATGTAGATGCTAACAATCTTTAGCAGTTTAGAATTGTGTTATTTTTAAAAAGAAAATGAGTAATAGTTACTACTATTTTGACTATTAAAAATCTTTATTTCATGATAAGAAGTCCTGAAGTAATATAACTAGGTATCATTATAAAGCTGTTAATACCCATGGAACTCTGACCAAGGGATACATTTATTTAATAGAGAAACCCCCATCTATTCCAAGTATCTCCAAATATATTGTTGATTGACAGCATAAGGAGAAGGTTAGGCTAGAATAAAATAGATAGCAGTTTTGATAACCAAAAGGTAATGTATATTTAATGAGTAATCATGAAGGTCTTTTCTGTTTATATTACAAGTTTCTTAATCTTTAGGATGGAAATTACAATTGTCATTTGCTAACTTCTTTAGGTCTCTCTACATCAATCTTCTGGGACTCTGGGCAATCCTTGCCTGCTCAGTGCTTTGTGGGCTAGCCCTATATTCCAGGTACCGTGACTGTGATCCTTGGACAGCCAAGAAAGTTTCTGCACCAGACCAGGTTCAGTACCATGTCTTTCTTACATGTGCATTAAGGATACCCAGGAAGCTTATTAGTGGGAGGAAAGAGTGTTCATGTTTTTGTAGAGAAACAGCAAATGAATACAATGTAATCATTGGCAAAAATTTATTTTAGCAGATATAACAAGAATGAAGAATGCTGTATCCAAGATTAAAATATTGAAGTACCTGGAAAAATTTCAAGCCAAGTGTTCAATAGAAATGGGGAGTAGAAATGTAAACACAGTTCAAGAAAAAAAAAAAAAAAACCATACACAGACCATGGTAGTGTAGAACATTTTACAGTTATTCTCTTATCACTTATTTATCAATGGTTTATCTTCCAGTGTTTAAATGATAGAGAAATATATCTAATGTGTGAACATTTATTGACTAACTATGCAATGAGATTCTGTGTTTACAGCTTTGTATGCTTTATCTCTTTTAATTCTCACAACCCTATAATTCTAATTTTAGAGATGAGGAAATGAGTGACTCTCAGAGAGATTACATAATTGCTCAAGGCCACAGAGCTAATAAATAAGAATAGCTGCAAGCACTCATCATACTATCATAAGTGCTTTATATAAACTTCAACTTTGAATCCTTATATACGCCACACACTGACGTAGGTGCTATGATTATTTCTCTTTCAAAGATGAGGAAACTGAGACACGGACAAGTTATGTAACCAGCTAGTAAACCTGGGGCCAGAATTCAAATTCAGACAGACTGCCACCAGAATGTTTGTGCCATATGCCACCTCTCAGAAAGTGTAGTTATAATTCAGATCCAGGACTGCTAGACTCTGAAGCTTGAGTTCTTGTTCGCAGAGTTCTTGATAACTCTTTTTTTTTTTTAAATGTTTATTTATTTTTGAGAGAGAGTGCATGAGCAGGGGAGGGGCAGAGAGAGAGGGGGACAGAGGATCCAGAGTGGGCTCTGCTCTGACAGCAGAGAGCCCTATGTGGGGCTCGAACTCATGAACCATGAGATAATGACCTGAGCCAAATCTTCGGGAGCTTAACCAACTGAGCCACCCAGGCACCCTCTCCCCAATTTTTTTTTCTAAGACTTGTTTGTAAATCAAGTGCCCAGGGGACTCATGAGAAAGAAGACAGACTGCATTTTAGGTTGGTGTAAATGCATCACATACTCCTAGAAAAACGCAACTTTGTGGAATTAGAAAATGAGAGCTTCCATGAGCTGTGCATCTCAACCCTACCTTCACGTGTAGACGTGTATCCTCCTGTTAATAAATAGATCTTTCCTATTTGCTCAGAAAATCTAAGAAGCATGTTTACTCTGAAGATGAAGGCACTCTTCCCTTACATTCTCTCTAGTGAAGAATATTTTGTTCTTTTTGTCAATCTTTATTGTTTGTAGTTTATATAATGAAGACAATAGGGATGATAAAAATGTTTCTAATTTATCTTATCCTATCCCCTGAACAATCACAACAAAAAATATCTACAATCTCCTAACCTTGAGATTCCTTGTCATACAATGATGGGGGGAAGGAGAGCGCCCCCCCCCCCCCCCCCCCCCCCCCCCCCGTCTTGCATGCATGCGCCTGTCATTTAGAGAGCCTGTGCTATTTTCTTTTTAAACAAAGAGGCTTCCTCCTAATTGGATGATTCCAGTGTTGTGTTGATTGTCCAATTAACAGTTCCCTGGGGATACAATGCACATAGGCACAGTCAGTAGAAAGTCAGATCGAAATCTTAACCTGAGGAAAGCAAAGATATATTTCTGTGACACTCTGCTGGACCTCACCCTGAGGAAGCAAGATTAGTGCTTAGACACAGTTTTACTACTTTTCTATCTGTCAGTCTTGCTAGTTCTACCTATACCTGAGGGGGTCATTCAGAATATAAAATATCACACCAAAAACTTTTGAGAAAGTTGATGATAGGGTAGAGGATTTCAGATCTTATAGCAGTAACAATGGAAACTTAATGTTTGCTTATGTATGGAATACTCCTTGTTACACTTTTAACATATCTTGGGAAAATTGGGTCTTGGTTTCATAGAGAGATAACTGCTATTCTCGCTTTCTGAGAATAAAAAATTAGTAAGCTTTGGATAAAGGGGAGAAATTCTTAAAACAACTCAACACAGACCCTTGTAACAGTGGGGGCTGTTCTTCCACATCCCATAACAAATTATTGTTAAATGAAATCAAAGAGGCTGATAAGATAGGACATGCCATCCACTCTATACTATCAGAGAAGGAATCAAGAGTGTTTCAATGCAAATAAAGGGAACTTTTCCTAGAAAATTATTCTCTTAAGATCCTTTTGATTTAAAAATTAGTTTTGCCAAAAGACTGGCATGTAACATAGTACTGAAGTAATACACTTTCTCATCCTAATTTAATATTTTTTTAAAGTAACTTATCAAAAAGTAAGCTGCTACCAGTAACTTTTCAAAAAGAAGCAAGTTTCAGAAATTTTCTGAGGGTACTCTCCCCTTATGACTATATCTCATACTGTATGCAGCTATAATTACCCTTTCAGTCCTGGGTAGTGAATGAAGTTCACAAAGATATCTTTGAGTCATCAAGTCAAGTTAAATTAACTTAATTATGCTATTTGCTTAAGCATAAGGGTATGTAAATATTTCCTTTAAATTGTTTTATTATTCTAAAGAATGAGAACAGATACCTTTTATCAAGCATTTGCTGTAGTCCATGTACTATACCAAGAGCTATAAATAGCTTGTCTAATATAACTTTTATAGCAAGTCTATGAGATTAGTATTGCTATAGTACATGTGTTCCATGTACTATACCAAGAGTTATAAATAGATTGTCTAATATAACTTTTACAGCAAGTCTATGAGATTAGTATTATTACCCCTATTTTACAGTCTTTTTTAAGTCTATTTTGAGTCAGAGAAATGAACAAAAACCACTTCTGTCTGAATCTAGAACCTGTATCCTTAACTACTGTGCTATTCTTTTAAATGTTAGCAATTAAAGAGTATAATTTTTCATATTTGGAGATTTCAATTATGTGGAATAAGTTCCTTTAGTTCTTGAAGAACACAAGATAGATGATGCATTATTTAATTTTACTTGATAGCAAATAACATTCAGGAGTAAATTTTGGAATTTTTCAGCTCATGCCATATTTGGTACTGGACATTCTACAAGATTATCCGGGACTTCCTGGACTTTTTGTGGCCTGTGCCTACAGTGGAACATTAAGGTATGAACTATGACTCTAACAATACGTGGTTTCCCTATTGGGATCTTTCTTTTGTTATTGGCTATTTTGGGGAATAAAGCTGAAATCTGGAAGTGAGCACAAATGGCGCAATGTGAGTAATCTTCATGAATCCTGTGGTCTCAGTCTCAGTTTTATCTCTGTGGACTAGCAGTCTATTATCCTGAGTCTCCACTTTTAACTTGGTCCCTGCTGTCAAATACATTATCACCTATCCTGGAGGGTCACTATAATAATGATCAGTTGATGGTAGTTTTCACTGATTATCAAAAATGGGTACTTATAGTCTCAGTTTAAAATGTATGGCTAGGTAGAGCATGGTCAAATGGAAAATTAGAATTAAAATCTCCTGTTATGTGCTGAATAATATACACTGTCCAAAGAACCTTATTCTGTGTTTGAAGTTATTCATTGCAGTTTCTTCCAGTGTTTGTGCCAGGGATTTTTTTTTTTTTTTTTTTTTTTTTTGAGAGAGAGAGAGAGAGTGAGCAAGCATGAGCAGGGGAGAGGGGCAGAGGGGGAAAGAGAGAATCCTATGTAGGCTCCTTGCTCAGCACAGAGCCCAGCACACAGGCCTTGATCCCATGATCCTGGGATCATTACCTGAGCCAAAATCAGGAGTCGGATGCTCAACCAACTAAGCTACCCAGCGCCCCTGTGCCAGGAAATTCTTGATTAACGTGTATAGCATATGTTAGTGAGGATCCAGGAAATTAATATTATTTATATTTATGACATATGTTAGTGAGGTTTTATGACAGTCCCTTCTCTGCACAAAGAAAAATAAGTTTTAAAGTCACTATAGTACTGTGCAGTCTGTAGATTCTTTCCATAGACACTGAAGATTTATTGCAAAATGGAAGCAACATGAAATTGTCCTTTTTCCCTGTTAAGTCTATAGATGTCGACTGAATCATTCTTAGATGATAACAGTTTCCAGAAAGAAGATGCTGTGATCATGAAAAATATAGTAGAAATCTGGTTATATTTCAGAAATGACAGTTTGTCTCCCCCCTTTTTACTCCTGCTTAAAGTATTATTAAAATTGAAATATTATAAATCAAAAGTTTGATTTTCTCTTACAGCACAGTGTCCTCCAGTATTAATGCCTTAGCAGCAGTAACTGTGGAAGATCTAGTTAAACCTCACTTCAGATCACTCTCAGAAAGGTCTCTCTCTTGGATTTCCCAAGGAATGAGTAAGTTTCCATGTTCACAATTCCATTTTAGCCCTGGGAGATGATTTTTAGAGATACCAGAATTTCTTTTTCATGGGAGACACAGAATAAGAACCTCTGACTGTAAATGTGTCTATACATATGCATGCCTATGACTAAACACAGTCATGCCATATTTGCAATCAAGATTTGAGAGACATTTCAAGCAATTAATTGTCAGGGGACCACAATGAACAATTTCCAGGGTTCTTATTTGGCTGTCCTTCTTTTTAAACTTCTTAGCTACAGAAAAAAAAATCCAACCCTTTTGCTTTTCAAAACTTTAGCCCACAGTTTTAAGAAATACCCTTAGTTTGGAGGCAAGGGCCATGCATTTTATTACTTAAGAGCACACTCTCAGTTTAAAGTACATAGTCTGTGTGCATGAATTGAAGATAAACAAAGTGTTATTATTTTTGAACCATCTTGATTGTCTATTCTGTCTGTACATGTAGACTGCCCTGAAAATAGTCAATAAAATTGCACAAGGAATGTTCATCTTCTATTTATAGATGTAGGACCTTATGAAGGGTTAAATATCAGTTGAATGGAAAGATTTAAAGACCCCAGGTCCCAGATGTCCCAAATGTAACAATCTGACTCAAAGAAAGCTGGCTGGTGTGCTTCATTCTTTGTTTTTGACATTTGTCTATACATGTTCTGGAAGGAATGACTAAAAAACTTGTTTTTTCAAAAGAATCTTTAACTTCAACCCAATAACACTAATAGACTGTCAAAGAAATAGTAAATAATATTCTATTTGGAACCATAATTCTATATGTAATTGTCTTGACTGTAGCCTGGAATAAGTACTTAATTTATATTCTTCAGTGTCCCTTACATTTAAATAACATTGCATCATTTTATTATGTAACAATTTTAATCCTAGAGCATAATTTCAGAATGATACAATGCTTCCCAAAGAATATTTAGATTGGTTTGTTATAGGATTGTCGAAACTGTGTGGTTTTAAATAGAAGTTTTGAAGCCAGACAGACCCAATCTTTCTCACCAGTTTATTAGCTTTAAGCAGATCCAATAACCTAATAGAGCTTAAATTTCTTTATATGGAAAGTGAAGTAAAAAGTACTCACCTTGCAGGTACAATGAGGTTTAGAAATAATGCATACAAAACAAGAGGCACTAGCTTGTGTTCAAGGAAGGTTGTTGATAATGATTAATAGCAAATCAACTCTGCTAGTGTAGATGAAGTTTTTGTTTACTTTGAAGGGTTATGTAAAATCATTATCTTGAGGTATGTACAATAAAGGTATCATAGAGTGGAACATGGCAAATGATTTGAATGTGTTTCCATTAACTTTGAATACCAAAACCCACAATGCTGACCATCCATGAGCAATCAGATATAGAAGAATCAAGCTAAATATGTTGGAAATACCATTTACATTAGAATTTAGAGGCATAAAAATCATTGCATCTCAAGCTCTTTGCAAAAACTTAATGTAAGATTTCCATTCAGGTACAATAAGGTCATTCACCTAATATAATTAACAAAGTCAGATAGATATAAGTAATTCTAGTGTAAGTCAGATATAAGGAATGCACTAATTTTATGATGAACAAAGCTATCATTCATTTTTTTTTTGTTTTGAATTTTATGTGTGGGAAATTACATTGACTGACTTCAGGTGATTTGTACTGAATGAAGGTCTTCAAAAATAAAAATCTGTGTGTGTGTGTGTGTGTGTGTGTGTGTAAATTTTCCTATAATTTAAAAAGCAAAACATGTACTTGGACAAAATCTGAAAAATACTGAAAGCCAAAAGAGAAAAAAAATCCCATAATCTATAATATAGCCAACAGTGGTAGCTCAAGAATTTCTATAAAGTTTGAGGAAACAATTTGGTAAAATGCGTAATATCATACTTGTCTTTGATGCTTTCTTTCATGGCTAGTTTAACAAGAAAGGGTTGGGTATGTTGATTGAGATTACAAGAGGGATAAAGGTCCTAAACCACCTCTTGGTGTGGACTAACACTTCTCATGAGAAATGGACACTTCAAATCAGAACACTCTAATTTCTGATGCTTATTAATCCCCTCCACCATCATGCTGTACAGAGCAGAGCTGGATTGTGTCCTGTTTCTGGCAAACCGAAAACAGAGACCTGAGCCTTCCTTTATAAACAAATATTTACAGAGGATTAGATTAATAACACAATAGTTCTTAGCTTTAAAGTCTCTGTAGTTAATGCTAGGGATTTTTCACTTATGTAATCTAATGTAATTAATCCTGAGACACAATATCAGAGTTTTCTTTCCTCTTTGTGCACTGCTGATCTTGTAGGAAAACACCCCTTCCATTTTTTGTGTCTGGCTTTTATGTATGTGGCCACTTTTCACCACAATCATATTAATTACTTTGAATCAAAGGTATGGTTGCTTATTCTATTGAGAATTCTAATCCTCTGGGTCTGAATTTTACACTGGCTTTTATCATCTAGGTGTGTTGTTTGGAGCTCTGTGTATTGGAATGGCTGCAGTGGCATCACTGATGGGAGCTTTGCTACAGGTAACAGCTGATTCTGGAAAGATAGAGTCCTAATCACTGGATTCTTCTTGTTTTTTAAATGTTGCTATGACCATCCTTCCAGACTTTTTTATTCATATGTATGAACCCATATCAAGGAGCAGAGATGACTAAATTCTTTAAATTATTTAAAATTAAACTTTCTATTTTGATATAATTTTAGATTTACATGCAATTTTAAGAAATAATACAGAAATATTTTATATACCCTTTACCTAGTTTTCCTCAATGGTATGAGATTTAGAATGATGTTCTTTTTTCCACCCTTCCCCATGGATGTCTAATTGTAAAGACTATCTTTTTTCCATTGTCTTGCACCTATATAAGACATCAGTTAGGCATATTTGTGTGGATATATTTCTGGTTTATTTATTCTGTTCTATTGATCTGTGTGTCTGTCCCTCTGTCAATACTACACAGTCTTGATTTGTATAGCTTTATAATAAGTCTAGGATCAGGTAAACTAATTCTCTCCACTTTATTCTTACTTTAAAAAATTGTTTTAGCTATTCTAGGTCCTTCGCCTTTCCGTATAAAGTTTAGAATAATCTCTATATCTAAAAAAATGTTGCTTAGATTGTGATAGGATTGCATTAAATCTGTATATCATTTTGGGGAGAACTGACATCTTTATTATGCTGAGTTCTTTGAATCCATGAATATAGTATATTTCTTCATTTAATTAGATATCTGATTTTTCTCAACGCCATTGTGTAATTTTCAGTGTACAAGTTATGTATATATGTAGTGAGATTTACACCATAGCATTTCATTTTTAGAATTTAAAAAAAAGTTTTTATTTTAATCCCAGTAAGTTAACATACAGTGGCATATTAGTTTCAGATATACAATATAGTGATCCAACAATTCCATACATTACCTGGTGTTCGTCATGACAAGTACACTCCTTAATCCCAATTACCTGCTTAATCCATCCTCCCACCCACCACCTTCCCTTTGGTAATCATCAGTTCCCTATAGGTAAGAGTCTATTTCTTGGTTCCTCTCCCTCTCTCTCTCTCTCTCTCTCTCTTTCTCTCTCTCTCCTTACCTTTGCTTGCTTGTTTGGTTTTAAATTCCACATATGGATGAAGTCATATGGTATTTATCTTCCTCTGACTGACTTATTTTGCATAACATTATACCCTCTAGCCAATATTGCAAATGCCAATATTTCATATTTTTTTTTATGGCTGGCTAATATTCCACTACACACACACATGCAAATACACACAACAACACATGAATGTCCTTTCACCAGTCAATGGACACTTGGGCTACTTCCATATCTTGGCTATTATAAACAATGGTGCTATAAACATAGGGGTACATGTATCTCCTTAGGTTAGTGTTTTTGTGTTCTTTGGATAAATACCCAGTAGTACAATTACTGGATCATAGGGTAGTTCTATTTTTAATTTTTTGAGGAGCCTCCATACTGTTTTCTAGTATGCTTTCCCATCAACAGTAGAATGCACCAGTTTGCATTCCCACCAGTTGTGCACAATGGTTCCTTTTTCTCCACATCCTCACCCATACTTACTGTTTCTTATGTTGTTTTTAGCCATTCTGATAGGTGTGAAGTAATATTTTATTGTAGTTTTTATTTGTATTTCCCTGATGATAAGTGATGATATCTTTTCATGTGTCTGTTGGCCAGTGTCTTTGGAGAAGTGTCTGTCCATGTCTTGTGCCCATTTTTTATTGGGATATTTGTTTTTTGGGTGTTGACTTTTACAAGTTCTTTAAATATTTTGTATTCTAACCCTTATCAGATATATCATTTGCAAATATCTTTTCCCATTTAGTAGGTTACCGTTTATGGTATCAATACCAGTTTTGTGGATTGATTCCTTCATTCTGCAGCAGCTTTTTATTTTGATGTAGTCTCAATAGTTGATTTTTGCTTTTGTTTCCCTTGCCCAGGGGACCTATCTAGAAAAAAGTTACTATAGCCAATGTCATTAACATTATTGCCTGTGTTCTTGGGCTCACTTCGGCAGCACATATACCAAAATTACTGCCCGTGTTCTCTTCTAAGATTTTTCTTGTTTAAGGTCTTATATATAACTCTTTAATCCAATTTGAATATATTTTTTAAATGGTTATTTTATTTTTGAGAGACAGAGCATGAGTGGGGGAAAGGGGAAGGAGAGAGAGAGAGGGAGATACAGAATCTGAAGCAGTCTCCAGGCTCAGGGCTGTCAGCACAGAGCCTGATATGGGGCTCGAACTCTCGGACAGTGAAATCACAACCTCAGCCGAAGTCAGACACTTAGCTGACTGAGCCACCCAGGTGCCCCTGAATTTATTTTTCTATACTGTGTAAGAAAGTGGTCCAGCTTCATTCTTTTGCATGTAGCTGTCCAGTTTTCCCAGCACCATTTGTTGAAGAGACTGTCTTTTTCCCACTGGATATTTTTTCCTGCTTTGTTGAAGATTAATTGACCATATAATTGTGGATTTATTTCTGTGGTTTCTATTGTGTTTCATTTATTTTTGTCTATTTTTGTGACCATAGCATACATACTGTTTTGATTACTACAGCTTTGTAATATAACTTGAAGTCGGAATTGTGATTCCTCCAGCTTTTCTTTGCTTTTCCAAGAGTGCTTTGATTATTTGGGGTCTTTTGTGGTTCCATGTAAATTTTAGAACTGTTTGTTTTAGTTCTGTGAAAAATGCTATTAGTATTTTGATAGGGATTGCATTAAATGTGTAGATTGCTAGGGTAGTATAGACATTTTAACAATACTTGTTCTTCTAAACCATGAGCATGGAATGTCTTTCCATTTCTTTGTGTCATCTTCAGTTTCTTTTATCACTGTTTTATAGTTTTCAGAGAACAGGTCTTTCACTTCTTTAGTTAGGTTTATTCCTAGTATCTTATTATTTTTGGTGCAATTGTAAATGAGATTGTTTTCTTAATTTCTCTTTATGCTGCTGCTTCATTGCTGTATAGAAATGCAACAGATTTCTGTACCTTGATTTTGTATCCTGTAACTTTACTGAATTTATTTATCAGTTCTAGGAGTTTTGGGGTGGGGTCTTTAAGGTTTCTGTATATAGTATTATGTTATCTGAAAATATTGAAAGTTTGACTTCTTCTTTATCAATTTGGATGCCTTTTATTTCTTTTTGTTATCTGGTTGCTGTGGCTGGGACTTCCAGTACTATGTTGAATAAAGTGATGAGAGTGGACATCCTTGCCTTGTTCCTGACCTGAAACAGTCAATTTTTCCCCAGTAGATATGATATTAGCTGTGGGTTTTCTTGTATATGGCCTTTATTTTGTCGATGTATATTCTCTCTAAACCTACTTCAGTCGGAGTTTTTTTTTTATCATGAATGGATGTTGTATTTTGTGAAATATTTTTCCTGCATCTATTGAAATAATCATGTGGTTATTATTTCTTTATTGATGTGACATATCACATCGATTAATTTGCAAATATTGAACCACCCTTGCAACCCAGTAAGAAATCCCACTTGATTGTGGTGAATGATTTTTTAAAATGTGTTGTTGGATTCAGTTTGCTGGTATTTTGTTGAGGATTTTTGCATCTATGTTCATCAAAGATATTGATTGGCCTCTAGTTCTTTTTATTGTGGTGCCTTTATCTGGTTTGGTATCAGGGTAATGCTGGCCTTATAGAATGAAATCAGAAGTTTTCCTTCCTCTTCTACTTTTTGGAATAGTTTGAGAAGAATAGGTTAATATTTGGTATAATTTACCTGTGAAGCCATCTTGTCCTGACCTTCTATTTGTTGGTTTTTTTTTTTTATTGCTGATTCAATTTTTTGCTGATAATTGGTCTGTTAAAATTTTCTATTTCTTCCTGTTTTCAGTTTTCATAGATTATATGTTTCTAGGAATTTTTCCATTTCTTCTAGGTTGTCCAATTTGTTGGCATATAGTTTTTCATAATATTCTCTTATAATTGTTTTCCTGTGGTATTGGTTGTTATTTCCTCTCTTTCATTTGTAATATTATTTATTTGAATCCTTTCTCTTTTTTTCTTGATAATTCTGGCTAGAAGCTTATCAATTTTATTAATATTTTTAAAGAACCCGCTTCTGGTTTCGTCAATCTGTTCTACTATTTTTTTTTTTAGTTTTTATATAATTTATTTCTTCTCTAATCCTTATTATTTCCTTCCTTCCTTCTGTTGGTATTAGGTTTAGTTTGTTGTTTGTAGGTGTAGGTTCAGTTGTTTATTTGAGATTTTTCTTCCTTCTTGAGGTAGACCTGTATTGCTATAGACTTCCCTCTTAAAACCACTTTTGCTGTATCCCAAAGGTTTTGACTATTATGTTTCATTTTCATTAGTTTCCATGTACTTTTAATTTTTTTCTTTTATTTCCTGGTTGACACACTCATTGTTTAGTGGCATGTTATTTGTGGTTTTCCAGATTTTTTCTTGTGATTGACTTTTAGTTTCATAGCGTTGTGTTCAGAAAAGATGCATGGTATGACTTCTATCTTTTTGAATTTGTTAAGGTTTGTTTTGTGGGTTAATATGTGATATGTTCTGGAGGATGTTCCATGTGTACTCAAAAAGAAAGAGTATTCTGCTGTTTTAGAATGGAATGATTTGAATATATCCATCTGGTAGTGTGTGATTCAAAGCCATTGTTTGCTTGTTGATTTTCTGTTTAGATGATCTGTCCATTGATTTAAGTAGGGTGTTAAAGTTTTCCACTACTATTTATTGCTATTGATTATTTGCTTTATGTTTGTTAATAGCTGCTTTATGTATCTGGGTGCACCTTTCAACTGTCTAAGTCTTATTTATTCTTCAAGTTTCAACTTAAACTTCCTTTCTGTTCCCGGATAAGTTTAAGTTATCTTAAAGTTATCTGCCACATATTCGCAGAGCACTTTGTGTTTCTCTTATCATGTATTTATTTCCAGTATCATATTTTATTGCAGTTATTTATTTAATGTCTGTTTTACTAAATAGTGTATAATTCCATGAAGGTAAGAATTTTGACAGTGTTGTCCAACACTGTATCAAATATCTGGTATCTACTGTAGCGCTCAGGACATTTAATAAATTCAAGCTGAATGTACCTATTTTGTACCTATTCATAAATATCCACTTATCAGATTGCCCCAAATGCTCCCTGGACCTACTCTGAGCACCTGCACTCTCCCTCTGGGACTTCTGGACCTCCCCATGTTCCAGAAAGTTCAAGGTCAATGTTGGAAAAGCAGGTCCTCCAAACTCCTTCTTTAGAGCTAAGGCTTGAGTCCATTCTGGTTTGTTATTGCTTAAGGCATACCAGTTGTTAAAATAGCTTGATCTCATCTTGATTATATGAATGAATGAATTATGTCCAGATACTCCAAGCTTATCTAGTATAGCTAAGCCTTAACCAAAAAAACTCCTCTGAGTGTGCTTTCCTCTCTACTCTGCATGATTGCTTATTCTTCTGTAGTCTGCATTATTACTTATAGCTTTTATTGTGGTTAATTTCCCTTTTACCATATATCAACTCTGGCCTGAGTATATACAATGGGGTGTTCTAGGAATATCATCATAACTCCAAGACAGTTTTTGCTTGCTTCCTCTCTAACATAGCTATTATTTCCTGAGACAGATCTTTTTTGGGATATATTCCTTGTGTCTCCAAAACTGGCTCACAGATCACACTGTCATAGCCAGTAGGTCGTTCATGGGTCGTGTGACTTATTTCACATTATGCATTGAAGTTTATCTCCCTTCCTCCTGGGCTCTGGTTCAGGAGAAGTTGTGAAATGACTCCTTAGGATGATATTCTGAGCCCATATTCTCCTCAAACAGTAATTCTTTGTCATCTGTATACACACTTCCTTCTGTAGTCCAAAAGGTTGGCTTTTTAATTGTTTTTAATCTAAGATTGCCATCTGTATCCTATAAAATTTGTCTTAATTCATTATTTTTTCTTTGATTTGCTCATTCTGTTTTATCAAGTCCCTTTACTCTTTAGACAAACTAATGGATCCCCTAATCCTTCTTATATGTTTCTGTCCACTATTAAAAATTAGCCATTGGAGGGGCGCCTGGGTGGCTTAGTCGGTTAAGCATCCGACTTTCGCTTAGGTCATGATCTCACGGTTCATGGGTTCGAGCCCCGCATCGGGCTCTGTGCTGACTGCCAGCTCAGAGCCTGGAGCCTGTTTCAGTCTGTGACTCCCTCTCTCTCTGACCCTCCCCTGCTCACGCTGCCTCTCTCTCTCTCTCCTAGAAATAAATAGAACATTAAAAAAAATTTTTTTAAATAAAAAAAAATTAACCATTGGATTATTGGGAACTCACATCTCTTGGAATTTTTAGCTATTTGGATAATTCCATTAGTCACATTGTAATTTCTTTTGGCATCTACACATCAAAGCAAAGTTATCCAGCTATATTTTAAATATTTTTCTACATGATTTGATCAATCTTTTTTTTTTTTAATCATGGTTTTCATTCTAGTTCCATTCTTAGGGAATCAAAGATGGTGTTGGGTTTCATTGCCATCTGCTCACTTAGGAGTACTGTCCCACAGTCTTGTTTTGCATAAGATTTTGAGACTATCAAAGGACAAAGGAGTAATGTGATCGATTATTAACACCTGCAAGAACAGTTGGGAGGAGTAGTGTCCCTCTTGTCTTATGCATTCATATAGGTGTTTCCATTGTCTATGACCCTCTACCTTCTTTATATTTTGCTTCCTTTATTGAGGTAACTGAGTGAACCAATTAATAGTTGAGACTGAGAAACAGAAGCTTCCAAGTTCTGATGACCTATTTGCCAATCACAAGGCTGCCATGGTTTTCTGGAGAGGCTGACTAAATTCTCATTCTGATGAAATTTTCTTTGAAACATTTTAACTTGGTTTATGAGATTGCTAATTGCTGACTTTTTGTTATTTTTGTAGGCAGCCCTCAGTATATTTGGCATGGTTGGAGGACCACTTCTGGGCTTGTTTGCTTTGGGCATTTTGGTTCCCTTTGCCAACTCAATTGTAAGTATAAAGAGTGAATATGAGTAAAGCTTAATTTCCCAAATATAGTAGTGGCTCTATAATTTTTTTTTCAATTGGAAAGATATAGTTCCTTTGATATCTGTCATTAGTGACTTGATGACTTAATTACACATCTTTTTTTTTTAATTTTTTTAATGTTTTTATTTATTTCTAGGAGGGAGAGAAAGAGACAGTGTGAGCAGGGGAGGGTCAGAGAGAGAGGGAATCACAGACTGAAACAGGCTTCAGGCTCTGAGCTGGCTGTCAGCACAGAGCCCGACGCGGGGCTTGAACCCACGAACCGCGAGATCATGACCTAAGCAAAAGTCGGACTCTTAACCGACTAAGCCACCCAGGCACCCCGATGACTTAATTACTCATCTTGACTTTGCTAGGGTGTACAATAAAGTACAATGCACTGGAATTATGCATGTTTAAAGCTAAATGGAGACTACCAAAACAACATATATTATCAATATTATTTAACTAAATAATATATTATTATATAATTATATAATTAAAATATAATATAGAATATTATATAATATAACTAAAGGGTATATGTTGTGAAACATATTATATGTAATATATTATAAATATTATATACCTGAAGGAGCAACTCTTTTTGTGCACTTATCTTTTTTCCCTTCTTGAAAATTAATCACTGGGATTGATTTATTTATTTAAAATTTTTTAAATGTTTTATTCTGAGAGAGAGAGAGAGAGACAGCGTGAGCAGGGTAGGGTCAGAAAGAGAGAGAGACACAGAATCTGAAGCAGGCTCCAGGCTCTGAGCTAGGTGTCAGCACAGAGCCCGACACGAGGCTCAAACTCAAGAACCGTGAGATCATGACCTGAGCTGAAGTCTGACACTTAACCGAGGGAGCCACCCAGGTGCCCCAACCACTGGGATTTAGAGAAAGGAGATCAGCAGGCTCATATATGAAAGATTTAAGGGCAAGTGATACTGAGTTCAGACTTCAGGTCTCCAGAACTGTAAGAGAATAAATGTCCATTGTTTCAAGCTGTTGCAGCAGTCACAAAAAACTGTACAAGTATTTTACATGGCCAACAGCTAGCCCGAGTGCTAAGTCATGACAGAGAGAAAAGGAGCAAAAGCTGACTTCCTAAGGTCATAATCTTGAAACACCATTATTTTAAATCTCAGGTTTAGGTGTAGGAGAAACCAGGATGCTCTGACCACTTATTATAGTTCCTAGAGGCTATTCTAAAATGTTCATAAGAATTCTAAAACCAAAATAATAAATAAATCTATTCCAAAAAAAAAAAAAAAAGAAAGAAAGATTTAAGGGCAATAGAATGGAGGATACTTGTGTATAGCCAGAGTATAACAAAGAGAAGCAATAAGATCTTCACCACCTTCACCAGAGAGTTTATATTCCTGATACTTAAATCTATAGTTCCAATACCATGGCTCTGGCCCCAAAGGGGTGATCATAATTGAGAATGGTATCCAGAATAAGGTAATATCTCTCTTCTGTATAGACATATCTATGCTGTGAAATACTATATTTTGTTTGGAATAAATGAAATTGAAATTATTTCTCTGAAAGCCAAGGGAACTCCATCCAATCAGGCCTGCTATAAGCTAAAGTTCAGGAAAAACTGATGTGTCTATTGTTGTTTCAGACAGTTGTAGAATAACCACAGAACTATGACTTTACATTTAGAATTCCATTTTCTTCATGAGGCATTAGAGATTGGTAAGGCAGCCACTAGTAAAAGCTGTTACCATTATTGCTAATAATAGTTCTCAGAGAAATAATTCTCAACAGATGGTAGCTATACTTGTGGTGAGCATAATATAATGTATGTAGTTGACAAATCACTGTGTTTCAGTACCCTTGAAACTAATGTAACATTATGTGTCAACTGTATATAAGTAAAAACTTTACAAAAATAATAATTCTAAATAATAACAATAATTCTCAATAAAATATCATATGAAGTGCAGGTTTTGTAGAAATTAATCACAGTGAAAGAGGGTGGTTTGTATCAACCTCAGGATGTTGAAGCTTTGGTTAGACTCTGCATTATGAATGCACACTGGTTTGTTGAGTGTCTGAAACATTAAAAAAAGATTGACTTTTGGTTTTTGACATTTACTGTCACCTTGGGGTGCCTCCACAAAAGCTGTAGCAGACAGGTCTCAAGTATCCTTTTTTCAAGAGAAGTATGATATTATTCCTATCACAGGAGGTACCTCTTTTTACTGTATCCACATTTTTCACCAGCAGAATATCTACCCTTACCTTGGAGTGGACTTCCTGCCTCCCTCTTTTCCTCCTATCTTCTCACCTTTTCTCACCTTCTCCTTTTCTCCTTCTCTTCCTTTGCTTCTCTTCCTCCTTCCCTTTTCTCCCTTGCTCCCTCCCTTCTTATTCATTCTTTGAACATTGTCTTGGGAATAAAGAGCACTGAATATTTCTGCTCTCATGCATTTAATAATTTTGTGGATCTTTGAACAAACCATGTGCAATGCTGAGAATAAGCAAGTCAGGCCTGTCAACAGGTGGCCACACTACTATTCCAACCTCATAATATTGAAAACATATTTATTTCTATATGTCCAGCACTGTCCAAAGTGCTGGGGTACCAAAAACAAAGAAATCTAATTCTGCTTTCAAGGTTCACAGCTTAATGAAAGAGCTCACAGTCTTTGTCCTCAACACAAATCCTCTGACCTGGTCATCAGCCTTCATCTTCTTCCATCAACACACCATTCTTTTTTCCTGCCCTATGATTTTGCTTATGTTTTCCCCCTTACTTCAAATATTCTACCCCATCCTTTCTATGGGGACCCTGAGGCACAAGCTGTCCTGTCTGGTCAGTATTCTTTTTTTTAAAGCTTATTTATTTATTTATTTTTGAGGGAGAGAGGAAGTATGAGAAGTATGAGTGGGGAAGGAGCAGAGAGAGAGGAAAAGAGAAAATCCCAAGCAGGCTTCACACTGTCAGCATGGAGCTTGATGTTGGGCTCAAACCACCAAGCTGTGACATCGTGACCTGAGCTGAAGCAAACACTTAACTGACTGAGCCACTGACTGAGCAGGCGCCCCTGCTCAGTGTTCTTAAAGGGCGGGAAATTTACCACAGGGGCTTCCTAGCTCATTTTGCTTTTGTCCCCATCATTTGGAACTAGGGCTTAAATCATTCAAAGTCTGGCAGAATATCTGGATTACTGGTGAAAATCAGAAGTGGGGACCCCAAGTTTTCCAAGAGTTGGGAAACCAGATGTCTTCAGAGAGGATGTCTCTGCTTGTGGTTACATGCACCATTGCAGTCATTTGTGAAAACTGCTTCCTGGTTTCCCCTAATTAACCTGAAGCACAATTATAATCGTGCATGTTGTTAAGTATAGGAATAAACTCTGTGTATACTTTCTCCTTCATAATCTGTTGTTCATATGATATACCATTTGTTCACGACTAAATAAAAATAGAGGGACCAATTGGCCTGGGATCAAAGATGTCACTTTTGTAGTTATTTGGGTGTGAAGAGAGCAGGAGGCCAGAGCAGAGTGCTAGCTGTGGAAACAGAGTAGAAGAAATGGAATTATGAGTTCAACTAAAAGAAAAATGGGCAGGAATTGGTGATTACAAGAATGGGGTTATAGACTCCCCAAGGCTCTAGGCTAAGGGACCAGTGGTCCCTACTGCCCTTGACAAGAGGCAGGGGTCTTGGGAGAGGGATGGTTTTAGGAGAAAAGCTGGTAAATCTGGCTTGGACCATGTTGAGCTTAACCATCTAATATTAATTTCCATCCCAAAGCAAACTGTATTATTTTTTCTTTTAAAAGCACTCTTGTTTTTCAGGGAGCACTTGCTGGTCTTGTGGCTGGATTTGTTGTTTCTTTGTGGGTCGGAATTGGAGCTCAACTGTATCCTCCACTGCCTGAGAGAACTCTGCCACTCAGTCTTGAAACGTATGGTTGTAACAGCACATACAATGTGACAAATTGGGTGACGACCACAGAAATGCCATTTTCTACTAGTGCTTTCCAAGTACATGGTGCTGAAAGGTATTGAATTAAACTTTATAATGTCATATTTTTAAAATTTTTTTTAATGTTTTTTATTTATTTCTAAGAGAGAGAGAGAGAGAGACAGCGTGAGCAGGAGAGGGTCAGAGAGAGAGGGAGTCACAGACTGAAACAGGCTCCAGGCTCCGAGCTGGCAGTCAGCGCAGAGCCCGACGCGGGGCTCGAACCCACGAACCGCGAGATCATGACCTGAGCGAAAGTCGGATGCTTAACTGACTAAGCCACCCGGGCGCCCCTATAATGTCATATTTTTAAGAAATGTATGTGACAGGTAGAGAACAGTTGCTATCTGTCTTGCCTACAGTGCTGTGGTTTTCCCTGATCTGAAATGGGTGAGCCCTTATGGCTTGCTGGCTATAGTATTTTGTTCAGAAACAGCAAAAAATGCTGTATATTCTTAATTTTGATAGATTCTTCAGCCTCGCTTACAGATTCTGTTAAAAGAATGAATATGAACAAGGTTGGAGAAGACTTGAATTATAACCCAAAAAAATTCTATTATGGGTAAATGCTACCAAATATCAGCTCTAGTTGAATGAAAAATTGTCTTTGTCAACTAAAAGCCTTTTAAAATGAAAACCACCATTATAAGAGAGACATTGCTTCTATAGTCTTTGAAGTATAGCTTTTACAGACTAAAAGCTATAGTTATCTAAATATGTTAGATCATTGCTATTTGTTTAGGTTTAAAGATTCCAAACCTTTTAGCACATTAATAAACTATTTAAAAAAAAAAAAAAAGAACATTAGCAATGAGTTGCAGCTGTGATATTCTTGCTAGAGTTTTCTGTATGTGGTATACTTTTCGGCTTCTGGATCCTTATGTCGTCTGATTTAATGAAATGTTGTGCATCTGCTAATAGGTGAGTGTTTTATTATACAGTGGATGTGAGGGCAAGACATTTTATAGTGGACAGATTTATGTCCAGCCTTAAAGCATAAACCCCCATGGAAATGTTCAAGGAATACAAAGATGAGGTACTTTGCCCCCAGTTTATTGCCCCCAGTTCATGCCTTTTGGGTAAAGACATGGGGTCTCCCTCTTTAACTGGATGCCCTCCTGAGAGAAGGAATTTGACTGTTATAATTAGTGAGTCATGTTCCAAAGAAAATCCAACTATGAGAATGCTTGCCAATGGAAGTTCAAGGCTGGCAAATGCTTCGTGAATAGAAAGAAAAGATAGTTCCAGAGCCTGAGGCATATTTGGGGGAGGTCTGACTAGGTGGGGTGCTGTGGGATGAGGAGCAAGGAAACGCAGGGAGCAGTCTGGACAAGCATGAAAGCACTAATGTGCATGTGTAGGGGCAAGTTGTTGGAGAAAAAATAATGGAATGGTATGTGAGAGGACATTCAGGATGTACTGTTAAACAATTTTGCTTAGCATTTGTCCTGGCTGTGTAAATATCTCTCTTAATTTAAGAGACTGAGGCAAAATAGTTATTTGGATTTTGAAACAAATAAATTAGCTGAGGTTTAGTATATACCTGGTTCCATAATAATTACTTTTATATGTTAGCTTGTTTATAAAATAACAGGTAATAAACAAGAATCTTTCAGAACGAACTACATACTCAGCTCTGGGCTAGCCATTTATGTATTATCCCTAGAAAGCCTTCCCCTCTCATTCACTGTGGTTCCTGCCTTCCTGGAAATTGTAATTTAGCTGGAGAGAGTGTGCTAATATACATGAAACAATTAATCCAGTAAGAACTAAGTATAAAGTAAGTATAAAACTAGCACATGGTAAATAGTAATAAATACTTGGTGAATACTTGTTAAAAGAATGAATATAAACAAGGTTGGAGTGAGTAGCAGGAAGACTTTAGAGATGTAGGAAGAGGTAGAGAGGTAGGAAGGATGTAGAAGCTGGCTAGAGAGATGTCTGAAAGTCATTTTTATCACAGAAAATGACCAGAAGGGAAGATGGACAAGAAGATAAACAAACAGTACTTGTGGTGAGTAGTATTCATAAGTGATCAAAAGAGCCATCAGGCTCTTCCTAGAGCCTAACTCTTCCTGGGCGGAGTCAAGAAAACCTCAGATGAGGATTACCTACTGGAATCAGTCAGATGAACAAGGTTGGGTAGAGGGACCAAAGGAAGAAGAAATATATATTGCATAGTGAAGGAGTAGTGTATGCAAAGGCATGAAACTTTGAAGCCCCATGGCACCTTAGGAAGTCATCCGTGTTGCTAGAGTACAAGTGGAGTAAATGACATAGCTGAAAATGAAATAAAATACCTTTTGGTTGTCTAGATTCTGCATTTCTATTACCCACATTCAGTTTTTATTAAGTTCTCAATGCTTGATGTGTATATATTGATATCTTGTAGTTTTAATTTGCACTTCCCTTATTATCAGTTACATTCAATATCTTTTAATATATTTATTGGCCATTTCCACTTGAATATTTACTTTAGTCACTTGTCTGTTGAAATCTTTGATCTATTTTTAAATTCATTCTCAATTTTTTTCTTATTTATTGAGGAGTTCTTGATATATTCTAGATACAAAATATATTTTGAAAATCTTTTTCTCCTAGTCTGTGGATTGCCTTTTTAATCTTTTAGTGATAATTTTGGTGGTCAGAAACGTCTTCATTTTTTTTAAAATATATTTTATTTTATTTTATTTTATTTTTTTACAAATAGTTTGTCAAATTAGTTTCCACATAACACCCAGTGCTCATCCCCACAAGTGCCCTCCTCCATGCCCATCCCCCCCTCCCCCCCACATCCATCAGTCCTCAGTTTTTGTCAGCATTCAAGAGTCTCTCATGGTTTGCCTCTCTCCCTTTCCCCCACCATTTCCCCCCTTCTTCTCCCCCTTGTTCCTCTCCTAATCCTCCTATATGTGCAAACATATGATATTTGTCCTTCTCTGCCTGACTTATTTTGCTCAGCATAACACCCTCAAGGTCCATCCATGTTGCTACACATGGCCAGATTTCATTGTTTCCCATTGCCATGTAGTATTCCATGGTATAGATAAACCACATCTTCTGGATCCGTTCGTCCGTTGATGGACACTTAGGCTCTTCCCATGTTTTAGCTATTGTGGAGAGTGCTGCTATGAACATTGGGGTACATGTGCCCTATGCATCAGCACTCCTGTATCCCTTGGGTAAATTCCTAGCAGTGCTATTGCTGGGTCATAGGGGAGTTCTATGGTTAGTTTCCTGAGGAACCTCCACACTGTTTTCCAGAGGGGCTGTACCAGTTTACATTCCCAAGAAACTTCTTCATTTTAATTATGTTCAACTTATCAATCTTTTTCCTATATGTTTAGTCTTTTGTGTATCCCAATTACATCTTTGCCTATCTTGAGGTCATAAAGAGATTCCTATAATTTTTCATAAAAAAATGTTAACTATTCCCATTTATGAAATGTAGTCTCATTTGGAATTGATTTCTGTGGGTGCTGTGATCAAGACTCATTTTTTCCCATATGGATATTCAATTAACCAAGTACCACTTATTGGAAAGAACTTCCCTTTTTCCCCTTCCAAAGAGTTGTCGACTTTGACATAAACCAGATGACTATGTAATTGGGGGTCTATTTCTTCTGTTCTATTTTGTCTGTTTTCCCCCCCAGTAGTACCACATCTGAATTTCAATAGCTCACCTCAGTGTGTTTCCCTTCTTTCTGGGATCTTGGCCCCTCAAGTTCTAATTGTTGTGACTCTCGGTATCTTAAAAATATCTGCCTACTCCTTTCCCCCAGTTTTCAAGTCCATCATCTTAACCACTCGGCCGTAACTACCTGCTTTCCCCCAGTTTTTATACATTGTTCTTGGCAGAATGGTTGGTCTAAATCAAGCTACTCTATTAAAGCTGAAAGTGAGATCCTAGAACAATCATTTTAGAAACAGATCAGATCATGTCACTCCTCCATTTAAAGTACTTCCCTGAGTGCCGCTGCCCAGGGAGTAAAATTCAAACTTCCTACAAGTCTAATAAAAAAAAGAACTCTGTCTTCCTCTCATTTTGTGTAACTCTGTATGTTACTCACTATGCTTTCGTCAGCTGGCTTTTATCTCTCTCTAGAATGCTTTCCTCATGAACTTTTCCTTGTTCAGATATCAGTTCAAATGTTACTTCTTCCTGAAGGCTTTCTCTGACTCTGCATTGGAGTATAGTTTTTCTTTCCACTATGTTAATATCACATTACTTTGTTTGATTTTCTTTACAGCACTTTCCACCAATAGAAATTATTATATTTGTTAGTTTACTTGTTTATTTTATTTCTCTTTCCATTAGGATGTAAACCTTATGAGGGCAGGAACCCTATCAACCATTTTTATGGTAGACTTTTTAATGACAAGAACAGTGCCTGGGGACATAAAGCAGAGTTGAATGAATACACATGGACATTTAGTATTATAGTATATGGTCAAGGTTAAACCAGGGTTTTAATATTTTTCCCTCAGGCTTTTAATTATTGATACAATAAGATAAAATTGGAACAGCAGATTCTGACATTAAAAACATTATTAAATAGGGGCGCCTGAGTGGCTTAGTCGGTTGAGCGTCCGACTTTCGCTTAGGTCATGATCTCGCGGTTCGTGGGTTCGAGCCCCACGTCGGGCTCTGTGCTGACTGCCAGCTCGGAGCCTGGAGCCTGTTTCAGTCTGTGACTCCCTCTCTCTCTGACCCTCCCTTGTTCACGCTGTCTCTCTCTCTCTCCTAGAAGTGAATAAAACATTAAAAAAAATTATTAAATATTTGACTTTGCCATGTGTGAAGATTATTGAGACTACTCAGTTGCTAGTAGCATTACATGAACATTTACAGCTAAACTTTTGTTTTTTCTCAGGACTCCACTGATGGACAACTGGTATTCTGTATCATATCTATACTTCAGCACTCTTGGAACTTTGGTAACATTATTCATGGGAATGCTAATCAGTTTAACAACAGGTAACTGTGTAAACTTTAGTATTGTATTTACCGCCAAATCAGTTTTTACTATATCTGGTTTATAGCTGTTTGTATTATTTTACTGTAGTCCTGTTAACAACTAGTTTAATTACTTGTTTATTTTCCTCATGGGAAATTTGAGGCCTACACTCAAAAGCAGAAGTTTCTCTTTGAACCTTTGCTCCTCCATGTACTAGCTGCATGAACTTAAGGAAGTCTGTAAAGCTACTCTGAGGCTTAACTATCTTATGTGTAAATTGAGGTTAGTGGTGATTGACTTCCCTGTCTCATAGGTTGCTGTAAGATAAAAATAAAGTGCTTGAAAATGTATGTAGCTACTACAATGTTAGGGATTTTACACATGTTATTACCACAATCCTGTGTCATGATCTTTTCATTATCCTATGCTGACGTTTTGTAAACTGTAAAGAAGGATACACAGGTAAGGAATGATAATTATAATCGTTATAGCTAAACATAGTGTGAAGCTTTTTTTCCGATGTCCATAAACTTTAAAAACATTTAAAGGGGTGCCTGGGTGGCTTAGTCGGTTAAGCGTCCGACTTTTGCTTAGGTCATGATCTCGCGGTTCGTGGGTTCGAGCCCTGCGTCGGGCTCTGTGCTGACTGCCAGCTCAGAGCCTGGAACCAATTTCGGAGTCTGTATCTCCCTCTTTCTCTGACCCTCCTCTGCTCACGCTGTCTCTCTCTCTCTCTCTCCTAGAAATAAATAAAAAATATTTTAAAAAATTATTTAAAAACATTTAAAAACTGTCAGCAAGGAGCCTGCTTGGGATTTTTCTCTCCCTTTTTCTCTGCACCTCCTCCACTCATTCTCTCTCTCTCTCAAAATAAATAAATAAACTTTAAAAATTATTTAAAAAAACTGATAATACTCATGGTATATACACTGCTTTCTGGGATTGCTATAGAACTGTTATCCTGGAGCTTCATTTTGTCCTCATTCTGTGAATCCTGTCCGTCTCCCCCCTGTGTTGGACTCTCTGCTGCCTGTATTCCATTAGTCCTAATTCTTGTTTATCCCCTTAATTGAATGGAGTATATCCTTTTAGCATGTTCTTGAGAAAGTGTAGACAGGAGATTTTGAAAATGTGGTATCTCTGGAAAAAAATGTCTTTAATTTTCCCTTATACTTGATTGATCATTTGTTTGAATAGAGAATCCTAGGTTGAAAATAACGTTCTTGTTTCTGAAAGGATGTCTTTTTTTTTTTTTAATATAATTTATTGTTGGGACGCCTGGGTGGCTCAGTCGGTTAAGCATCTGACTTTGGCTCAGGTCATGATCTCACGGTTCATAGGTTTGAGCCCCGCATCAGGCTCTGTGCGGACAGCTGGCTCAGAGCCTGGAACCTGTTTCAGATTCTGTGTCTCCCTCTCTCTCTGACCCTCCCCTGCTCATGCTGTGTGTGTGTCTCTCTCCCTATCTCAGAAATAAATAAAACATTTAAAAAATTAAAAAGATATATATATATATAATTTATTGTCAAGTAGGCTAACATACAATGTGTACAGTGTGCTCTTGGCTTTGGGAGTAGATTCCCGTGATTTATCGCTTACATATAACACCCAGTGCTCATCCCAACAAGTGCCCTCCTCAATGCCCATCTCTCATTTCCCCCTCTCTTCTGCACCCCCCCCACATCAACCCTCACTTTGTTCTCTACATTTAAGAGTCTCTTATGGTTTGCCTCCCTCCTTCTCTGTTTGCAACTATTTTTTCCCCTTCCCTTTCCCATGGTCTTCTGTTAAGTTTCTCAAGTTCCACATATGAGTGAAAACATACCACGTTTATTTATTTTGAGAGAGAGAGAAAGAGGGAGAGTATGTGTATGCACATGTGCAAGCAGGAGAGGGGCAGAGAGGGAGAGAGAATCCCAAGCAGGCTCTGTGCTGTCAGTGCCAAGCCCAACGCAAGGCTCAAACTCATGCAGGACTCTGCTCTCTCTCACAAACCATAAAATCATGACCTGAGCTGAAATCAAGAGTCAGACACTCAACCAACTGAACCACCCAGGCGCCCCCCTGAGAGGATGTCTTAACTTTCTCCTAATTAACTCTGTTGTTATTAAGATGCTAGTACCATGCTATCTGCTGGCAATTTGCATGTGACCCATTTCACAATGACTGCTTTGCCCTAAGCCTTTGGTAGGGTCTTTTCAATCTGAAGAGTCATGTCCTTCAGTTCAAAGGCATTTTCCTATATTATTTCTTTTGTAATTTCCTGTGATTTTCTGTTTTTCTCTTTCTGGAAACTCTTGTTAGACAAATGTTTGAGTCTCAGACATTTATTCTAATTTTCTTCTCTTTTCTCTCCTATTTTCCATCACTGTGTCTTTTAGGTCGACTACCTGGAATACTTTTTCAATTTACTTTTCCAATAATTCTCAAAGGAACACTCTGATCCAGTTTTAAGAATAGTCCCTAAGGGATGGAGGGCAGGTAGGAGGCTATAACAGTAAGCCAGGTGAGCAATCTTGGTGGCTGGAAGCAGGATAATAGTGTAGAGTTGGTGAGAAGTGCTGGGCTCCCCAATTTCCTACATTCCCTCACACATGTACATCCATAGCAACTAGATAGAGGGAAGGTAGCTCACTGTCCTTTTCCTCAAACGTGCAATAACTAGTCAGAAAGTCTATACGTTTGTCCTAGGATGTCTGATGTCTTTGTTTCCTTTACACTGAAAGGCTACCATCACTGGCACTTGATAGTAGAAGAAATTCTAAATAGAAAGTAGTGGAAGAAGTTCTACTATCAATTATTGTTTTGTAGCTCCTTAGTAGCACTGCCTTTCAAGCTTCTGTGATACTTGTACTTATAATTAATAAATGATATTAATAGCTAGTGATAATGTTAATATAACCATATCAACAGTTATATTAGTGATTATTATATATTGCAATGTATAAATCTTATGCATTTATGGTAAAGTTTATAGCTATTTATTACCTTTCAAACAGTTATTTTAAACTATGCTTTCTTTTCAAAAGGACTGTGGCTTTTTTCATAAATAAATTTACCAGCACAGTAGAACTATTCTTTTGTCTGCTTTGATATATTTTCAGACAGATTTTAAACTTTTCTCACAAATAACTCAATTATTCAGAACAGGAATACATCTAAACAGTGTCCTTGTACTATTTGACCTTAGGTCCTTATTCAACCTATTCCTTTTTCTTTAAGAAAATGGAGTATCAATATGATTTCACTCATATGTGAACTTAAGAAACAAAACAGATAAACATATGGGAGGAAGAAAAAAAGAGAGGAGAACAAACCATAAGACACTCTTAAAAATAGGGGACAAACTGAGGGTTGATGGAGGGAGGTATGGGGTGATGGGTATTAAGGAGGGCACTTGTGATGAGCACTGAATGTTGTATGTAAGTGATGAATCACAGAATTCTATTCCTGAAATCAATATTTCACTGTATGTTAACTAACTTAATTTAAATAAAAATTTGAAAAAAAAGAAAGAAAATGGAGTATCAGAGTATTCCCTTTTAACATTCTCTTTTTTTCCCTTAAAAGTTTTTATTCTGATAACCATATACGACCATATCTTTTGTTTTGTAAAGTAAAGCTATATACCCAGGTGAGGAGGCATCCAGTGATAAAAAACAATACGACTTTATTAATTTCATAAACGGCTTATTCCTACTTCAAAACAGCAGTGAGCACCTCAAAAAACAAAACAAACAAAAAAAAAAAACAAAAGACAAACCAGAAACACAAAATCCTAACACTTCTTGGGAAATAAATTTAAAGATCTACTGTATGATACTAGGAATTGGTAAGAATTCAAGTCATACAGACTTGGTTGGTGTTTCAGTTTCACCTAACCATGTACCCACTGTGAGTGGGTCTATCTCTTCATTTTTTAAAAATATAATTTATTATCAAATTGGCTAACATAGTATGTAAAGTGTGCTCTTGGTTTTTGGGGTAGATTCCCATGATTCATTGCTTATATATAACACTCAGTGCTCATTCCAACAAGTGCCCTTCTCAATGCCCATCACCCATTTCCCCCTCTCCCCCACCCCTCCATCCACCCTTAGTTTGCTCTTTGTATTTAAGAGTTTCATATGGTTTGCCTCCCTCCATCTCTGTTTGTGTCTCTTCATCACTAGGTGGGGTAAATACTACCCTAAGTAGACGGTAAGGAATAAGTACAGTAATTGTTTTACTCATCTCTGTCTCTCCAGCACCTTGTAGATTCTCTAGCGTATGGTGGTTACTCAACAATGTTGAGTGAACTAGTTTAAAGCTGATCCCACTTCTGGAAGAGCAGAGGTTCCCATAATTAAAATCCTAACATTTGTACTGAAGTGGTGGCCCTCAAATATTAGGGAGCATAAAGATCACCTTGGAAATTTGGTGAAAATTAGGATTCAGTGGCCCTACCTCCAGAGTTTCTAACTGGGTTGGTCCAGGTTGGAGTCCAGGAATCTGCATTATAAGTACATCTCCTAGATGATTTGTACAAAAGTAGTCTGAGAAGCACACAGATTTAAAAAGCTTCATCTTCTATCTACAAATAAAGAATAATTTTTGTAAAGCAAAATGTTAAGGAAGAGGAGTTGAATCAAACACAATCATCATACTGATTTTCATTTAACTAATTTATTTGACAACTAATAATTTCCTGCATTTCTTCACATACATTTACATTCCTAGCCCTGAAACTTGGGGGATGCAACTCCACTGTCTGAAGCAGAGGCAGATGGTTTGATATTTTATTGGTAGATCTTAGAGGATGATTTTAAACCAGTTTCCCTATGAGTACTGGGCTCTTTCTCAGGTTAAGCTCCATATGAGTAGGTGGCTTAGATTTAAGAGCCATCTCATTCGGTTTTAAACACCAGACTCATATTTATCACAGCGAGAGGCTTGCAGCATCTGAGACTGGCTAAGAGAAGGGAAATGGTGAGCCAAGTCTCCAGCACTGCTTAAAAGAATCTCTTTCTCTTTGTGTCTTATAAGTGCATAGAGTTGAATGTACCCAAGTCAAATGCTTGTATGATGGGCCATCACTGGGTAGTTACGGATATCTTTCTAACAATGTAAATAATGTAAATGTTTTTCAGGAGGAAGAAAACAAAATTTAGACCGCAGATTCCTATTAACCAAAGAGGACTTTCTTTCCAATTTTGACGTTTTTAAGAAAGTAAGTTGGCTTTCTTTCTCCTTCAATTAATAAGACTGTGCTTTTACCACCAAGATAGAATACTAGTTAGTCCTCAGACTCTCTTTTGAACTCTGACAGACAAGGAACATATTTGATCTATTCTTTGATGATATATTTCTGTTATATCTCATCCTCAGTAGACTACAATGCTGATTTAGAGAAAGAAAAGCAGTAACAATTATTTAGAATCGAATAGTTTCTTTTTTCTAATCACTGTGCTAACATTTTCTTTTAGAAGAAGCATATTTTAAGCTATAAATCTCATCCAATAGAAGATGGTGGAACTGACAACCCTGCCTTCAACCATATTGAATTGAACTCCACAGACCAAAGTGGCAAGCTCCATGGGACTCATTTGTGAAACAGCTGTGATACTAGATGATCTTAAACAGTGTCCCAGTTTGATATATTTTCTAAGATAATTGGGTCAGGTTGAGATTATTTTTTGAAGGGGGGGCCTCTATAATGAGTAAAGTTTGGGGGAAAATTTTTGTTAAAGCGCAGTCCTGACTCTTCAGTTCCTAGACTCAATAATTGATGCTATTCTAGACTAAGAGTTTCAGAGTCAGTGTTTTCCTCTATTTCTCTTATTTGAATGAAGCTGTAGTTCTGAAAGTTATAACCACATATGTGCTGAAAGATTAGTACACACATACTTAATGGTCAAAAGCATATTTTTAAATTTGGGCATTCATAAATGTATTTTCCATGCATTTGGTGCTAGCATATCAGTTTTAGGATTTACGAAAATCATAAGTAATAGTGAAAAAAGCTTTCTCCTTTCTACTACATTCTCCATTTTTTTAGAAAACAATAGGGTGAGAGATCTTTGTTATCTAGATCTTTGCTTCTCATTGATCCATATCAGCTCTATCAGGGAACATATTAACCTTGGAACCAATTACGGCTCAGAAAGGTGATAATCAAGAAGCATCTGTTTGGGACAAAACAATGATCAAGGTCTTCTTGGTGCTATTTATCTATTCTTGTGCCTTTAAGCTAATTATCTAGACCTCTTAGCCATTGGCTGCTTATATTGCCTTAGACTCTGGTTCTTTTTTTTTTTTTTATTATTAACAAAGGTTTTTTTAAAATGTTTATTTACTTTTGAGACACAGAGAGTGAGACAGAGATGTGAGTGGGAAGAGGCAGGGAAAGGGAGACACAGAATCTAAAGTAGGCTCCAGGCTCTGAGCTTAACTGACTGAGCCGCCCAGGCATCCTAGCCTTTGGTTCTTATATGCAGTCCTAGTTTTGAACCCAACTCTGGTTTTGTTGTACAACTTTACTTTGCTTGTCTTCCTGATTTCCTGTTTACTCTGTTACCTTGGGCTTGAATATGTCTTGAGATACCCAATATGAATCATACTACCCCAGATCCTGGGTCACTAAATCCCAGACTATAAATCATAAACTCCTATGAGCCTGATAATGACTAAAGTACTTTCACTATAGGTACTTAAGGATTTGGTGACCCAAGAACATTTACATGATTAAAATGGTTAAGCTCCATGGAATTACATGATTGTGTTGAATGATACTAATTTGAATATCAACTAATTTGTAGTCTATTAAATTTAAAAGTAAATATGCTTAGAAGTCTTGAATTCTAGTGTATTCATACAGTTGAAGAGCCAAATTACATAGGCAAACACTACTATTTTTTTTTTTAATGTTCTGGAATTACTAACTATATGATTTGTTCCCTGGTTTAAAACTTCAAGTACCACTCTCAAAGTTTATTTTGTTTATTTTGCTACATTTCTAGCTAAGAGTTTGGTCACAGGCTTTTATCAATAACATATATATTTCTACAGTTCCCATATTAGATCCTGTATAGATTTTTTTCTTTATAATGGTTTCAAATAATGTGAGAAACATTTAGGCACATTAAAAATGGTTTATAATTAAGTACTTTTTTCTTATTTTCTGATATTTAGGTAAGAAATATCAGAGGTATGTTTAGAGGTTGCCAATTGAAAGCATTAAGAAATAAAATAAATAGGAAGTCACATTTATCTAAAGCAAAGAGATTTATATAACATTTAAATTAATGATGTGTTCATATATTTCATATATGTATGATGTTATTTTTTCATCAATATATTTGTAAGCATACATCAAATTTTGTAAATCTTTCTACAATTTTTTAATGAGTAATAAAATATAATCTTATTAGTTTTATGCAAGTGTGATTTGAACTACTGTTATTTATTTAATAAGTGTAAATGCAGATGTGTGTACAATGCTTCAAATTTGGAAATCAAAGTCTAGATTTTAAATAATTTTTTCTCTTATCTAACTGCCAAGGGATAATGCAGTGTATTTTTTTAAATATTTTTATTTATTTTTGAGTGAGAGAGACAGAGCATGAGTGGGGGGGGTCAGAGAGAGAGAGGAAGACACAGAATCTGAAGCAGGCTCCAGGCTCTGAGCCAGAAGCACAGATCCCGATGTGGGGCTTGAACTCGCAAACAGTGAGGTCATGACCTGAGCTGAAGTTAGATGCTTAACCGACTAAGCCATCCAAGCATTCCTGTGCAGTGTATTCTTAATGAGAGATATGGTACTTCCATTATTGTCCACTTTCTTTAACAAAGTACATCTTTGTGACATTGGGAACTGTTAATATTTTACCTTTATAAACACATAACAGTGATAGATGGAATTCTTAAGAAATCAAAGTACTGTTATTAATTATGAAAAATAATTTATCTTATCTGAATATTTGGGAAAAACCAAATAGAGGTAAAATGTTAATATAATGTAAATGAAATCATGTAATGGTCTTAATTATTTTGAATCACAACAATCCTGACAGGAGGGAAAAGTCACATAAGTTGTCTATTTTCATTTTGCCACTGACAGTTGTAAATGACCTTGAATTTATCCTTAATCTCATTTAATGATGGAAATTAACACTAAACACTTAATTACCTCACAGAAATAATGTGAGTATAAAAGATCAGATAGCACTTTATTAGCTTGAATAGCGTTACTTAAAATTTCCATATGATTGGAAATCAAAATTTGAGACAAAGGTCACTTGCTAGTTTAAAAAAAGGTGAACTGTTAGTAATGCGGAGATAGTTCTTTCGCTAAAATACATGTGTCATTGAAATGCTAAACTATATTTAGGAATAAGCAGGATTATTTGAACAGAAGAATGGAAACTTTAAAGAATGCTACAGACCAATCATATTCACTTCATAAGGAAGTGAAAATGTTATATGTAAGATGTGGAATAGTATGAGTATATATGTACCTATTTGATTGCTTATGCATTAATTTTCTCTCTGGGTCAATAGTCCTAATGGGGCAATTTTATAGCTGAGGGGACATTTGGAAGTATCTAGATACATTTTTGTTGTCACAGCTGGTGATAAGTTGCTACTGGAATCTAGTGGATAGAATTCAGGGACTCTGCTAAATATTCTATGATACATAGGACAGCCCTTCTCCATGACAAAAAGTGATCCTGCCCCAGATATCAGTAGTGCTGAGTTTGAGAAATCTTGCCCTAGAGGCTAAGGTTGCAATCTTGATTTTCCTGAAGTCACACATGCTGGCTACATGTGTAGATATTAGATATCTACAGATCAGATATCTCTTCTATCTGACCTACAGATGAGGATTAAAGTGTCACTAGCATTACAGAATGCTATGATATAGAATAACCATATATTTTCATAGCATTTTGAAAACATTAAGGAATATAAAATTGTGAATAATTATGAAAATAACTTAGGAAAGTTTCATTTTGCAACATGATTTCCAACATTAACACACATTAACATGAAGGAAATATAAAATTATGGATGTAATGATTTTGTAATTTTGTTTTATTTATGAAAACACCAGAAAGTATAGTTTATTTGTTAACAACTCAGTGTCTGTCCATGATGTAGACACAAGGGACAGGGATAGGCTTGAGATCAGGGGAGTGACTCCTTGTGTCAATTCTTATAGGAAATTCTGAGTTTTTTCCAGTAACAATTATTGATAACAGAGTCAACTGAGTGCATACACGGTTACTGAAAATTCACTACACAATTTAGTTACTGTAAAATTTACATTTATATTTAAGTTGTATGCTATTGTGAAAAATCTTGAGGGAATTGAATACGCAATGTGTAACATGTTTGCAATTCTGATTTTTCAACTGCTGATTAAACTGTCTACAAGTATCTTTGCAGTTGTGTGTTCTTGGGGAAGAAAATATCAAATTGAATATAATTAAGTTTATTAGCTTTTACAGAGTTATTTCCACTCTACCACATAAAGGACTCTCTGTATACAATATATAGATTATAAAAGCATAAGCAAAGAAACATATAGAACTTTTGTCATTGAAAAATATTTTATGTTTTAAGTAATTAACACTGTATTTGAAAATAAAAAGTAACATCTTTTTTTAAAAAAATGTTTAATGTTTATGTATTTTTGAGAGAGAGAGAAAGAGAGCACGTGCGAGCAAGTTGGGGAGGGGCAGAGAGAGAGGGAGATACAGAATCCAAAGCTGGCTCCAGGCTCTGAGTTGTCCACACAGAGCCTGATGTGGGGCTGGAAGTCATGAACCGGAGATCGTGACCTGAGACGAAGCTGGATGCTTAACTGACTGAGCCACCCAGGTACCCCCAAAATAACATCTTTAATACTGAAAATTTCTTAGCCATTATTTCTTTGAATATTCCCTCCTCCTATTCTGTAACTCTTTAACTCCCATTAGATGAATGGCACACCTCTTTATCCTGTCCTCCACATCTCCTAATCTGGCTCATATTTTCTATATTTTTATATTTAAAAATTTCAGGATGCATCATATAAATATAAACAAAAAGACATTGCCTTTCATTTTCTTCTAGCTGTTTCTTATTTGCTACTTAATCTGTCCATTGAATTTCCATTTCAGTGACTACTTTCTTCATTTTCAGAGTTGGATGTGCTTTTTCAAATTTTTCAAAACTTCTTTTCTTTTATTCCTAACGTTGGATTCTTTCCTTAAGATCCCCAATTATTCTTTTATCTCTAATAATTTTAGCTATATTTATTGCTCCTTTATGTTAACTGAAATTCTTGATGTGCTAATTCTTCTTCTTGTTCATTTGCTTACTCTCCATCAGGGTAATTTCCTTGTGTAGTTGACCATTTAAAGTTTATCTTCAGTAGGTGTTGGTTTGGTTTTTTGGGGGTTTTGTTTTGTTTTGTTTTTTTGAGAGAGACAGAGACAGAAACAGAGACAGAGAGCCTGAGAACAAGTTAGGGAGAGAGATGATCTTAAGCAGGCTTCATGCTCTACAGGGAGCCTGACACTTGCTGAGCCTAATGTGAGCTTGATTCCAAGACCCTGGGATCATGGAC